TTCCTTTTCGCGACTTCATAAACTTGAGATCAGTAGCAAGTTGGACAGGAATTTTGAGTCCTTAATCTTTTCGAAATGTGTACATATGTTAAATACTGCAGTGCGTTCCATGATAAGTAAGTTCTAACTCTTAAAAATGGGCATAGGACTGCGCCAAGACACTACAGTCAAGGTTTCAGGCCGTGACCAATCGTAGCAGGGAAAAACGCTGTGCCAATAGGCTACGAAATCGGAAGCCAACAAGGTCTTAAAGAAATGGACATTTACGAAAATGGGCTGGGCATACCTGAGTATGTACATTGTCCTCTACTGCATTCAAGCAATTAACCCTCCGTCAGCTCGCAGTCCCTTTCCTGCGCCTCAGATAGCGCTGAAAGCGCGAATCCACACCCGTTCGAGAATTGCAATTGGCTATCGCGAGAAGCTTGGCGCCGCACTGCGCGAACGCGTTCGTTAGCGTCCGCAAATCGCATCAAGTCGCCCTCTCAGCTGCGCACGAAAGGGGTGGAGTGGGGCGAGCGACGCAGGAGTCCTGGGGGTGACTTCCAAGCTCAAAAAGTGAGGTGCAACGCGTACATTTGGCACGGGAAAAGCATTGGATTATTACGCATTCTTCTTAAGTGTGTTTTGCGCGTCCAAATAATGGCGAGGCAGTAATATAGTGGAAGGGTTTTTTAGCCTTTGAATAATGGAATGAGTCATTTACAGTTAGCCAAATTACCTATTCAACCTTCGATCATAACGGGGACCTATGCACGCAGACTGCACATTTCATCTATTACAGGAAGCAGAATCCAAAACCATAATCTTCCACGAAACTCACACATTCAGGAGAAAATTTGCTTAAGGGGGTTGTGTGCAGATCTGTTCGAACCTATCGAGGAGAATTAAATATATAAGGCAAGGCAGGCCACAGAGTATGACAGTCGGTGTTCAGCGATTTCGCCTGAGTTGTTTTGGTCTCTATTTATCGTCAATGCAACTTCTAACCAGTCCGGTCCTTGTTAATAGGTAAAAGATTAACAACTTTGCCGGACAGGTTCGGAATTCATCCACTCTAGTCTCTGTGTGATTAAGCCAGGATGATGTTATAAACGCCATACATAGCCTACAATAGAGTTCTGTTTCAGTTTGCATGTGGGCATCAGACTTCATTGGGAATCAATACTCTACGTGATATCGCTATACCATTGTCGTGTATTTTAAAGTTATCAACTGGAAGTGGGACACGGGTTCAATAAAATGCCCCTCAAGATGTCAGACTTAATGGGTAGAGCATCTCGGTGTGTTCGTACCATCAATTTAGGACTTTAACAGTAGGGTAGTCTAATTTCAATTTCTTTGTTCACATTCACTAATTCCAATGTACTTGGAATTGCAATTATGAAAATGCGAACAGCAAAATCAATAATACAACATGAATTTGGATTACGCTGCCATGTGGTATTCCCCAATGATGGTCAAAAGTTGTTAAAGAAACTAATCTGTATTTTTTTGTAGATTTTTGTTTCAATTTTTATCTACTGACTTTAACTTTCAATACTGAATTTGACCATGGCTCGTTGCCCTACGGTAATGATCCAAACGGTAGGTGGTTGTGTGACCCAAACCATTATTCCACGCAAACCGCCTTGATAATAAATTTTGCATCTTCTGTAGTGAAATATCCATGTTTTGAAGAAGTGGCCATCGAAAGGAATGTGAAAAGCCACTAAAAGTCTTGAAACTGAGCTGGTTTAATTCGATGATGGAGTTTCAGCTCTGCTCCAAGCACTTACCAGAACTGGTATTTAGATAAATTTTAAAGTTGGGAGTTCCTACATTCACTGAAACCAACTGAAAAGAATTTTTAAAAGAACAAACTACGACACAAATGCTAACCCTTTTGACAAATCTATAATTTGTTGGTATTTCAAATAAACCTAGCTTTGCATAGGCACCGTCAGAACTGAAACTCTAAAATTCGCTAACGATCTTTTCTGTTGCACGATTCTCAATTTTAAGTCCATTCAGGCACACATGGGCTCAAGACTGCAAACACAGCCCCAAGTCATCTTGTCAGCCGAGTTAACGGGCAAAAATTGCATTTGCGCGCGTTCCACAAAGGCAGCTCCTGTGCTAATTACCACAACCGCACTGGTCTTCTCCACGTGTCCAGCGTCACGTCTGCAACTGCCACCTCCTTGTGGATGGGCTAATTGGCTGTGCACAGCTGAGGACGGCTTAGCTGCTGTCCCACTGGATAGGTACGTAGTTGCAATTATTGAAAGTCCATTTGAACCACTTGATGCCTGTCAATAATGGGACTAATTACTTGGGAAAATTTGCACAACCTGCTTCACAGAAGGACAGTGTTAACTCTCCAAACAGTCATTACACGAGCCCTTTGCAAATGCACTGAGTATCTCTAAGCAACCAAGTGTCTAAAATAAAATGCCTCGTTGGCATGCATACGCTTAAAAGCTGTCTCATGTGGAGGCACACAGACATTTGCTGAAGCGTGCGTTGTACCGGTTGTCATGCTATTTCCATCTAACCCTTCGTTCTACCATACTGATTTTGTTGGAGCATTATTCAAAGTCCTCAATAATGGTAAGCAACTGTATTTGTTGCCTAACTTTTACCGTTAACTCTATTTATTGTCATGGTATCTAGTGTTTAGGATAACTGCAATATAAGTTCACCTTACCGGATTGTTGTTGGCTGTTCTTCGAGTTTAGCTTGCATATTCATTATGGCTTGTGCATACGTTATTTACATGCGTTATTCCCCTTTAAGGGGTACATGCTTTTCATCCACAGTATCCAATGAAAATGTGCAAAGGTAGAAACGGCCAGGCAGCCGCCTCGCTTAAGTAATAGCGAGTGATTGTTAAGTCAACACATGACATAGGCAGCCACTACGGGATGGCGGGGTTTGCACCAGGGTGCCCACGACGTAACCTTTTTCTCTTAAATTTAGTCAACTATTCGATAATACGTGGAAATCAATTTCTTATTTCCATTGGCCCAGTTGACTAATTGGGCGTCCGAATGCTTGGATTGAAAAAAATAATACTTTATTGAAATACGATGTAAGTCTGACTACGAGAATGAAAATTATTTAATCTGCCGACAAATTCCTTTTGCCCATTTTCCTTTAACCCAGATTCCGACCCCCATTTTCCTTAAGCTTAATGCTACAACGTTGATTGCTTGTAAACACACGTTGGTAAAGGTATTAAGATGAGCGACTGCGGATGAAAATGCCACAGGCTTAGAATTCTTGCAGGAACCTCCTGAAATCTTTTGGTGGACTTTTTAATTACCGATCGTTTTTAAATTACATTGAAACCAAAAAAACATGCTGGACGAGAGAACTGTGGTAGCCTGAGTTAAGTAACACAGTCGTACAAATTTAAAAGGGTTAACACTTGAAAAATACAGACCATAAGCAGTCTTAGGTATTCAATTGTGACAGAACAGTTGAAAGCTCTTGTCTGGTTTTGACATGATTTTGATAGATAATTAGAACCTGCGTGTCAGATATCAATGACCAAAATCTTGGCCCGTCTCATCGATGGCCTTACAAGACGGCGAGACATCCCACGGACCCGACTTTTGGCCAGAACTGTTGGCTTAGATGTCGGCCAAATACTTAGAGTTGGCAGCAGATGACAGTGACCGCGTCGGCCGAAATCTCGAGCCAAATAAGTAAGGCTGGACTTATTTGGGATGTCCAACAAAGTCATTGATATGACCAGAGCACTCGGTTTTAACAAGTGTTCACACCAAGTACGGCACTTTGACACCGTGGATGCAGTCAACGCCTGGATTTCAGTTTGCTTTGGTGGCCTTGGAATCGTCCACCTTGGCTGCTGGTTGCCACTAAGGCGGATAATTAATGTGCTCGAGCCACGTGCTAATCATCAGGTCTTGCACTGTTCACGTTGCATACGACAAGGGCAACGACGACTAGAAACGGCAGCCAGTAAAAGTACCTATTTCCATGGAGCCTAAGTGACTCCGATTTCTAGAAATTCTTCTTCTGTTTCATCGTCAATTATCCATAGTTTAACAGAAACACGTTAGCATGCTTGGAACTTGTTGATAATAGCAGACGCGGACTGTTTTCAGGCTACGGGAATGTGGTTAAAGTAGATCGAGTTTTCGTTCAAATTCGTGACGAAGTTGCCATGGTTACAAGTGAAGACCTGTAACAATGACGATCAGTGACCCCCTCCAAACACTTGAGACAGGAAATAGCAACGTCGGTGCGGGATGTGCTCCAACAAATGCTACAGCTTCAAGTTGACAAGACAGTTCCTGCTGTCGTTTGTTGAAGGCTTCATCAGAAGGTGAGGGCCCCTTCAGACTAGCAAGCAGAGAAGTGAATTCCTGGGCCGTCATATTTTTCCAGTTAAAATCAGCACGAAACATCTCAAGCAAGTTGTAACGTGTAGCACAAGTATGAGCACCTACTTCAGCACGATGACCAGGAAAGATGTAGCTGTTAACATCGTGATGTTGACAAATTATCACAGGTACCCGAAACACCCATTTTACGACCCCTACTTTGTAGCCCAATCTTTAGGATACCAAACACCGGAAATTCCAAATTTAGTTATAAACGGGTGTTATTTAGTCATCGGAAGAATAGCTACCAATTGAAGACATGGATGAGTGCCCTGATGGAGAATAATTGTTCAATTAATAAGCTTTCTTCCCCAAGTTCTCCCTATTTTTTCCCAATTCTACCATTACCAAAGACGCTATTTACCAGTTCCGAAAACTAAATGCTTCATCTCAATTCATTTGAAGCCTTAGGTCCAACAACGTTATGAAGATGCTGGTGTACAGTTAGGGAAGGAGACGGATTCGTGCTTCCTCAGCTTTATTATTCATTTTTACAAGCCACATCCGATGGTAGGAAAATAAGAGGTTGAACCAAAATAAATTGAAAAGTCTTTAATGCCGTATAAACAAAGTGATCGGCATTGTCTGAGAAAGCGCGACCATTGTTCAGGTGCCGCGTTTCTTCTAAAATAGTTGAAAAGGGAACATTAGTAGACCTACAGGATAAATTAATGCGTATTTAGTACCAACGTCACAACTAATATTGCATCATAGCTACAGTCAGATGTAATCTTTTAATAGGTAGCTACGTGAAAGTATGCACTGCAGGACGTCAATGTGTAGGATGGTTGAAGAGGTTATATCACCTGTTGCTCAAATCACAGAAAACCCAAATGTTTTTAATCGTTTTTTCAAGTTAACAGGTCAGACAAACCCACATTGCATAGCGCCGTGGCCGACTTTGATGGCTGAAAGCTTTGCTACAGTTGAACTACTTTGAAATAGTAAGCTTTCGGCTGAAGCACATCGCATTTACATATGTTCCAGGTGTTCGATTTCAATAACTAATCAACTTAGTGATCCGATGTCAAGAGAAGATGAAAACTAAGGCGGTCGCACGAAGTGGCTGGATTTGCGACAAAGGACATACTACCCCAATTAAAATGTTAATTAAAGTGGCTTGCATTGCACCACTTTCTGTTTATTTCAACAATTTTAGCAACTTAAAGAGCTCCTCCAGTTATTCAGGTAAGTGTGCGTGCGTGTGTGTGTTGAGTGGTCACCTTGCTTAGAAGAAGGCAGGCTAACGACCTGACTGTGGAGCTACACGCTGCAGCGCTGAGACAAGACACCCTGCCACCTGCCCCCTGTCAGTCCTGACAATTAGTCGAACGAACAACGTGCACACGGGCAAGCGAAGCGGACGAACACCGTGAATAGCAAGAGGGGTGGTGGTGGTGTTGGTGGAAGAGGCTAGCAGTTGAAAAATGTCCAAGTGAAAATTCTGCCTCGTACTCAACAGAAGGCTGTTTAAAATAAGGCTAAAATTTAACCAGGACACAGAGGGTTTTGTAAATGTGCAAAAAGTGTGGCACAGAGAAAGGAAGTTCTGGCAATGGCCAAGAGGTTGTCGCAGCTAAGTGTTAAAGTATCAATGTCTACTTCTAGAAATATCATGCTAAGAAGCGAACTACATCTGAGTACTCATCATCACCAGCATATTTTCCATAAGAAGACCTAATCATCTCACACGTGTCTTGCGTAACAGACCAAGTTCCCTTACACACACACACACACACATTAAGTGTGTTGGGGCATGTTCACTGATCGATGACTGAGTGACGAAGTTAAGTGAAAACCCGGCCTTGGAGCTGTGGCAATGGTAAACGAGAGAACAGTTAGGTGCCAAGAGAGAAAGATTTTTCTCTAGAGAATTGTGGACGTTGTTCCGTGGAGATCAAGCATCATATGCCTACCAGGGGCTTCAGGGGAGTGGCGTTGGCACCGCCACCCGATGACAAGGAAGGGAGGGACTTCCGCAAGACCGCGTTGCGTCCTCCCTGGCGCCCGCCGCGGCCTCGATTTCTTCGACGACCCGTCGAGGCAGGAGACTGAGGCCCAGTGAGGGCTGTTGGTGTTTGCCTGCTTTGAGGAGGGACCTGCGCCTCGGGGCTTTGGCCTGCCAAAATTGGAACGACTTTAGTCATAGCACCAAAGCGCTACAGAAAGTCCTGCGTCAACTCAAGTAGAATGGGTTAATTTGCTGCAAACAGAAGTTTGTTAAATCAGCTCTTGAAGGGCTCAAGTACTGCACCCGGTCTAAAATTCACAGCTTCCGCACTGTTCTGTGTCACAACTACTGCCGAGGTTTGGCTTCGCAAAACAAAACAATTATCCGACGTCTTTTCTTTTTGAACAAAGCAAAGCTGAAACGGCAGCAAGTTTTCCCGAAAGAAAGCGAAAGTTAGCAAAAAGTTTACGAGTGAGCAGCACTGCACAGCCATGACTGGTTCATTAAATACGGAGTACGGATTGCTTAGAAATGAGGTCACATAAAAAGCGCTACCTAAGGGCGAACGGGAGACGTTGGCGAAATTTTCCGTCTGGGTGACGGGCGGCGGCTGTCTGCTGGTCTGCTTTGCACCCTTAGACGACCTCGCCAGCTAAAGGCAAAAAAATGCCATCTAGAATATAAATTCATGGATATCTTGTGTGCCGAAATAGGTCAAAAAGAAATCAAAAACTGCAAGCCCACTTAGTGCAGTGGGTTAGTATGTGAATGGAAACTGGATTAAACAAGAGACGTCTTAATTACTGCCATGAAAATTTCACTTAACATTCGGACATATGGAGTTGGAGGGAATGATTCGATTTAGCTGTTTCGCGGGATTTAATTGGCGGGCATTGAGACGTTATGTGCGGCCTTGAATACGCAGAAGAAAATGGAGATTTCTAAGACTCAGTGATAAAAATTACCGCAGAAAGGAGGAGTTTGTTTTCTCTGTGGAAATCATGAACGGACATTAAGACGCCAAGGCAATTCACGTAGTGTGAGACGCATGGTAGATCGTGACCTACTTTTTGATCACGGAGTATGACGACTTCCGTGTCTACATCGCACTTCTCCTCTTCCTTCCCCTCCCCGTCCTCATCCTCTTCCCCTTCCCCGTCTGCACCTCCGTTGCTGTGTCGCTTGGGCGGAAGTCGGTCTTGATGGGGGTTACCGGAACGCGGCCGCTTCTCGTTGTCCCATGTACTGGGCTGCTGCTTAGTTCGCCTCTGTTGCTGCTGCCGCTTGAGATTGGCGAAGGCACGAGACTGAGCCGACCTACCACGACCGGGGCGGAATGTCGCACCCAGCTCCTCCACCTGTATCACCTCCTCTACAAGGGCCGTGATGTGGGTTTACGAAGACGACAAATCGCAAGAGCATTTTCGGTTCTGGAATAAAAAACAAAACTACCCACCTAGGGTGAGTTTACTCGGTCCCTTGCCAGAAGAATCTGAGGTTGATTCAGAAGATGGTGGCTTGTAAAGTGGATCTTCATTGGTCGCAGCAGGGTCTTGTGGAGCCAGACTGGTAACTTCTTCGTCCAATTTGGGATCGGAGAGCGGCACCTGCTGGAGCATGTCCAGAACCTACAAAGGCAACCCGCAAGCGAAAATAACTAATTGAATGAGTGGTCAGCAATGACAGTCGACGGCCAAACTAAAGATGCTTTACGAGTTCCGAAGGAGCATCAACACCACTACTGCCAAATACCAAGTAAAGCGTAGTATTTTGAATATTATAGCGCTGTGAGAAAAGTAGGAGGGTGATGCTTATTCGTAATTGACCCAGAAATCATCTCGTGAGACGAAACCGCCTGGTTCACTAGCATGCGCCTGAATGCAAGCAATCAAAGTAAAAGAAATGCTGACGCAAGGTGCAAACAGGCTCTGCAGATAAAGACTCAAGTTGATGCATTATTTTACACAATTGGGCACTACACGTTACCTTTTTAAGCATCCCACGATTCGAGTCAACAAACACACGTCGTGGATTTTTCAGAGAACTGACACACTACAAGAAGAAAAGGGTTTCGGTGAGCGAAATGGCATTCAGGTTATGAAATCCAACTGAGTTCAACTGACCCGCGAAAAGCTTTTGCCCAGTGAAGACGACTTGTTCCACGATGGTTCTTTGGAAACACCTAAAGGGAAGACACAGGCCGGTAATTTGAGAAAACAACAACGTGAAATCGAGTAATTTAGGTTTTAGAGCGCAACCAATAGCAAAGGCTATAATTAAGCTGGTGTTAAGGAACTGGATTTGACAGGTGACATCAGGAGACCTACGAGATCCGCCGACATCAAGAATAGGCGGGAGATGAGGTGTTTTACACTATTCATTCATGAACGATGCTCATTTCAACAAAGAAGGACAGATGATTCGTTTGTGTCGAGTTGAGGTCCTTGTGCCCACAATTTGCCCATTATTACAACCGCAAATACGAAGCAAAAATTCTTCCTCGTGATTTAGACAGTAATTTTTAACCGAAAAATACAAAATAACTTGCCTTGTGCCTGTGAAATGTTGCGTAATCGAAAGCTGGTCTTGTTCGAAAAGTCATGAGGTGGACATCGAAGCATTCCAGGCACCAGAACACTGCTGCGTTCTGTTCGCTGCTCAGCCCTGTCCGACTTGAATTGGGCGGCGGAATCGTCGATCACCTGAATGATGACAACACAGTGACAAGTTTCCAGCAAAGAGGGTGTGCAAAAGTAACAACTAAGTAAGGCTCACCAGCTCATTGAGTTTATTGTTGCGAGCATCGAGGACTATCTTGTGAATGTCAAAAACGTACTTGCGCACCAGAGGCGGTATGGGACTGCAGCAGGCGAATATCCCTGTCGTTTCTCTATCAAATAAAAGGTTTCAATACAGGTAGAATAAGCCACCGCATTCATAGGCACAATAATCATCGACAAAGCATACCTGGGAAGTTCTTCCGCAATAAGACGAAGCATGTGATTTGGAAGGACGTAGCTAAAAGCAAGGGAAGTGGGGTAAGAGACCTTTCCCTTCGGTATCTTCGTTGCTGAATGGCAAGCAACGTAGCGGATGAGGCTTATTTGGTAATTATGCACGAGAATCACACAGAACTATTCGTTGACAGTGCTTTCTTTAACAACCCAGCGAGCTCAGAGAACTTTGCGAAGGTTGTTCAGATCACTAACGTCCCTTATGCACCTTTCAGGAGCCGATACGTATGAACTAGAGCAATAGGGGATAATTTCACGTTCAAGCTGCAAAGCGTGACATAATAAGATACCCAGCAGGGTATTTCAGTTAATCACATTTACAACAGGAATTAATGGCGAATCAAAAACATTAGTACGAATAGGGAGATAAAGACTTGAAAGGTGCGCCAGATGGTAGACGAAAATGGTGATTTCTTTTTACCGCTTACGGACGTCCAAATGGCTTTACCATGTGACACTTACAGTCTGATTGCATACACAAAAAAGCCATTTTATCACTTCTTCCAAACTTAATGGCCGAACAATACGCTGCGGGTGTAAGTTGCAAGGAAAGACCATCTGCACCAGGCTTGAAAAACACCCAAGACTTACTTCAAACTTTCATCCTCTCTTCGCGCGATGGAGTCTCGCAAGATACAAAGATGTTTCAGAGCGTACAGTTGCCGTTTGTTTAAACTAACACCACCGAGCATGTTGGGCATTGACAGGTAGCCCAATGGGTCAAATGTTGGCTTCTTATAAATCTACAGAGCAAAATACCAGTTAATAATCAGACATAAATGACCCCAATTTGCGTGAACAAAAGGCAATTCTTACCCTCAGACAGAGTTCTCGACTGCGTTCGAGAACTGAGCTCAAAAGACCTCTATCAGCCAAATGGTTCCGAAGCTGTTCCGCGATATAAAGCAAGTAATGCGTATCGGTGCGTGCATACGTAACCAGCTCTTCAGGAAGAGGTCTGAGAATAGAAACCTGTAATTAACCTTATGACAATCCTATCAGATTTGCCTCTATTTAGCAAAATCATGCATTGGCTAACCGACGCATAAGTGTGAGTATCAGCATGAGCTAGATAAGACATAAATTTGATCTTAAAATATTTCCAGAATTTCGGGCAATGATTGCGACAAGACACCTGAAGTTAATAAGTTCACGCAAAGAAACCCAAAACTTTTCTATTGGCTGCTACAATTAGCATGGAATTCAGGAATAAAACGAACTCTACACGAAAGAAACTAGGTACAATTAATCGATAACACCATAACGAAGCTTCACGACAAATTAGCCTACCGTATTCTCCAGTCAGCCAACTGATAAGCTTTGTTAGTGTAGACGCCGGCAAAATGCTGAAGCAGGTAACTTAGGGAGAACCGAGGAAGCTGAAGTGCTCGGGCTGCCTGACCAGTATCAAAAAGGTTGACGATGTACACACCGAAGTCCCGTTGAAGCCACATTAGATCCATATCAGACCCGTGTAACACCTTTAGGATTTGTAGAATTTGCAAGCATCATCACGATAAAACAGATGGTAACAAATAACGCTTCACCGTATACCTTGACAATTTTAGGGTCTGTGAACAATTTGTTAAAGTTTCCAAGATGATCACGCAACGCAATCGCATCCACGATGTAATCCTTGGTGCGCGACGAAAGTTGAATTAGACATGTGATTCCAAGGAAGGTACGGTAGCTATGATGCTAAAAGAACAAACACTCGAGAAATCAAAACTAAGCTACTAGCACATGCATAAGTTAGGTAGAATTACCTCTAAATCGACAGCGATCTCTTGTTCAGAGCTCAATTCCATTAACATACTTTCAAGTGTGACAGTGGAATCAACAAATATTAGTGGTGTTTCTTCTAGCGGTAGGGGTACCGGATTCGATGCCGCGGGAACATGCACATAAAGTTCCAAACACTTGCCGAATTCCTCCAATTCTTTCAAATATGGATGAGTGTAATCACCAGTCTCAGGGTCAGCAGTTAAATCACAGTCTATACAAGACATATAAGAATAGTATAGTTTCCCATAAAAAACATTGGTGCAAGACGATAGGCTTGAACTATCACGACAAATTTTGATAGAGTGAACAATTGCTTAAATGCGGGAAAGGGTGCTAAATCAGGAGGGATATACCTTCAAGACGAACAATGGCGTTTGGCTTTGTCTTCAAAATAGGTAAAAACGGTGCATTGCTATTATCCGGTGCAACCGTAAAAAGAATTTGGGGCCGAGAAATATTCTTTGAAGCCAGAAGTTTCACTGAATTGGGACTCAGAGTATTAAATTCACGGTTTTTCTGAAGAGATGAGTCCATCATTTTGCTTTTCTACAAAACTGAGCTTTGTAAGTAATATTTCACCTTATGAATTAGCGCTGGGGACATTTTGCCGCTTTCGTCGGCAATAACTAGGTTTCGAGCACTATTGTTATTTGCTTTATCGGGAAATTCTTCTCGGTCTAAATCAGAAGACTACAACATAGAGTAATATAAAGAGCCTACAATGCGGTCAATGACACGGTCGTTGACATCAACGATTGTACTAAATTGTTCTTCCAATGATTTTGGATGGCGCACATCTAAAACGTTCGCCTCACCATGAATTTCATCGATAATTTGCTGTATTCTACAGAAAATAGGGATTGAAAAACGCATACAGTGAGAGAATCTTGTTAGCATTTCCATTCATTACGGCTTTGTATTGGGGAAAGTCATTGTAGTATGTAAAGGCGGGTGTAGAAGCAGTAGGAAACTCATGGGAAATCTTAACAGCATTGGCGACGCTTGGAACAAGAGTCTAAAACAAAGCCTTTACATCATAAACTTAATCTTACAGAAATGATACGCTTCGAAGCGGTTGTCAAGTCGTTTCCGGAAAACCCAGATTCCGATGGCATTTTTGACATTGCAAAAAAAGGGGCGTGACTACGGCGAGCAGCACTGCAGGCGGTATAACAAATAATCGACCAATCGAACACAGGAACATAATGCAAAAGTCGCTACGTTGACCTACAAAATAAGGCAAGAATTAAACGAAATTTATCAATACATTAAATATACTTTTAGATCGCATGTATTCCTCCTGCAAACCTAGAATTGTAGTCCGAAGTATCTCTAAAGCAGGGAAATTTTCCAGATATTTAGCATGCAACTCTAATTTAACGACAAAAATGAAAACATCACTTGAGGCCGATGATTTATGATCTCGAGAACTAATTTAATATTTAAGTCATCAGGAATGACTGCTTGAATAACCTGCCATTTTTTCTTAAAAATAACCATTTTAGGGAACATCAAATGTGGGGTTTGTTGACTTATTTTGAGCACGTCCAACATCGTTTTTGCATTTGGGCAATTTACAGCTTATGGGTCGCCGTTATGCGCAACAACATCACAAAAGGTAGCGAATTTTTTCCGAGGTTCAACTATTTATACTTGTCTTCGGCGTGTATCAGTGTTTGGAATGTATGAATAAATATGTAGTAATTGTAGCAAACTGAGTTACAGCCCCACGTAAATGTTTGTCTGAAGTTTTAATGACATGCTCATAGTAATGCATATATTAGTTTTTAAAAAAATAATCTAAATTTGTTTTGCTGATGCCTCATGTCTTCGGTTGTGCAGATTATGGTTTTATTGGAACCACGATACATGCTGCAATCGAAGCGAGTCCTTGTTTCAGCTCATTTTTTGACCCCAAATTAGCCGAAATTTGATTTATCACAATTTTAAAAAGTAGGCTTGCCAAGAATGCAGTTAGTTAACATACCTTTGACGTTCATATGCCGATGTAATTGTGTGCACACAAAGGAAAATAGCGCAGACCTACCAATTGAAAATTCTTCCGTCTCTTTTTCTTAATCGAATATATTGCATTCATGTAGCTGATTTATTTATTTTTAGCTAACTTAGACCGAGGCGTGATCAAATTTGCCTTTGTGTTAGATATAATTAGTTCTGTTTTTCCCACTTCAACTTGAATGTTAGCTAAGATATCTCGTAGGCCCCAGCGTGTGGTCTCGTCGGAATCATAAATTGTTGTGTTTTTCAGCATGTTTTCTCAAACCACGTTGAAGGGACCGAGCTGGACTTGACCAGACCACGCTATCCTGCTATCCGCGAGGATGAAGAAGACCAGAGAGGACATGGACACAAACGTTTATTTCAGAACTTAAAAAAAAGTATGATAAACAAAATATTTCAGCATCAAAGCGATTTTCTGTATTAAGGTTGATCGTTTTAACAGCGAAACATGGACATAATTTAGCAAACCATGCTTAATAATTTATTTTCAAATTGTAACTTAAATAATGCTTGCTTTAAAAATTGAACAAAAACCTTAATTTTACAATTAATCTTTAGGTACTAGGATATCACAGAAACAGGCTTTTTGACAGGCTTCAATATTTATTTTGCCTAAACATACGTTTACTTCAAATCAGCAATTGATAAAGAAAAGTAAATTTGCCGTTTTCTGGTGAAGTTAAGAGCAGTGAAAAACTTCTAGGAACTATGCGTAGGAGATAGTTGTTGCAGTTAATTTGCCGCCATTTCTATATTGCATTCCTTATTGCATATCAGAATGCACTCGGCAGCATGACCTAAGTTATAAAGACCTTAACTTTGTAGGATTAGTGTCAATGATTTTATATTTGAAAAAAATATAGCTGGATTGCAAAATGGCAAGGCTTAGGCAAACCTAATACTTCTAATGATTCTACTTCATTTTGGCTGATGTCGTAATAGCGCTAGAGACAATCGGTAGTCTATCTACCTCAGCGACAAATTTTTGCAAAGGTATACAGATGCTATCACAAAGTTTCTCTTTCTTTACTCCAAGTCCTACAGTAATTTACCCAAAAGCGGTGACGTGTTCCATTGTAGGGATTTACCAAAAGTTGCATTACAGAGTCTCTACGAATAATATGATCACCCACCAAATTCTCTTACCTTAATTAAATGGCCCTATTTAGGTGAAGTAATAGATCGAAATCAATTTTTCGCGCATCTGACAGCATTTATTTGATCATGAGTTCCGGAGCTGATGGCCTTTTCGAAGGTCGTTCTGCGCGTGTTCGAATTTTACGTATGGTACGTTAGTTGGCGCTGTTGTGGAGTGAGGGTTTGTGTGAATTCTGTTGTATTTTTTCACCATAGATTAACGTATTGTCAAGTTATTATTTTGGTTTGTATTGTGACTGCTTATATATGTCTAAATCTCGGTCTGTAAGTTAAAAGCTACTGGTTTGAGATTAACGTGGAACTGCCGTCAATGTACTTAATTGTTCCCTTCCACTTTTTATTTAAATTAGATCAGTGACGTTTGGATTTGATACTTTTTGGTGATCTTCATTCGAACATGGCTTAATCATTTTTTATTAGTTAGCTTTGTTGCTTGAGGAAAGATTCCGGAAAATCCATTACGTAAAACGCTTTGTACACCGCGCGAATATCCAAGACAAAAGTGTTTCCATTTTTTGTTTCATAACCTCATGTATGCCCGAAATAATAAACTGCTGTTAGCAAGTCTAATTTTCTTACTAAATATCAACTCTCGTTCCCAAGTTGTACCTAATAATGTTTGCATTTAGAATATTCTGTCTTTGTCTTTGCTTCTACTTTGTTTACTTCAGATATTGTACATCAGTTTTTCAGCCCGAAGAGGAAAAATTTGTTCTTCTCGCACTGCTCTTTGTACGTGGGTTCCAAAAGTGGTTTTCTGGAACCTGCTATAAACCTGTACTACGTAACGATCTTGTAGGACCTAATTCACTTACATTTTCATCCCCGTTTATTATGTAATTTTAGAATAGTCGAAATGCGTTTGTAAATTTGGCAAGTCATACGGTTTAATAAAGAATCTAGTCACCGATTTGGCTTATTACATCTATTAGCTGCGATATTATAACGGGATTTGTGTCACCCTCAGACTGGCACTACTTTGTGAATTGGATTAAAATGTGGTCTGAATATTTTTGAATACTCCTTGCATGATGCAGATTGCACTGTCGTTTTATAGACTTGGTAGGGGAAGAAGTTTATGCACTCATGCTTATTTTGCCTACGTTATTAGCCCGTGATTATTACTTATCTAGGTGACTTAACTATAGTTCACATGACAGTATTCTATTTGTATGTTTAAGTGTCATATGCCCCTCGTTTTAGCGATGTCACTAGACGAGATACTGAAGGAGAATAAGAATGACGTTTGCGCGGATTGTGAGTCTACACGTATTTTTGGTCTCGCCACAGACTGGTCCGTGTTCGTCTGCAAAGAGTGTACAGGTAGGTTATTTTAATATTTCCCAACGCTAACTTCGTTAGAGGCCCACGTGAAACTTGGCGGTGGCTGGCGCTCTCTAGCCTCCCTTCAGTCTGCAAGCGAGGCCGAGATGAAGACTCTGATTGTTCCAGGTAAAGGAAATCAACAAGTTAACGAAGAATTTGAGGCCGAACTTCCTGTTTTCTATCGACGTCCATGGCCTGGACCGACTTGTCCATCCTTCTTGCGCGAAGTGTTTATCCATCACAAATACATTTCACGGGCCTTTTGCAAAGGCGCTGCTGCTTCCGGTTTGCAAGTTGGATTCTTCAACACAGCGAAAAGTGGTCAACTGCTTAAAAAACTCCGCGATGCGTCCGAGTTTGTTCCCCGTTTGTTTGAGATAAATTCGACTACCAACACACTAAAGTATTTTGTAAAGCTTACCGATACTGAGCCCAAGGAGTGCATTGATTTAGAACGCTGCAACATGACGTTTGTCGATTCACAAGCCTTTGGCGTTCCTCCTCACACCGCATTAATCCAATTCGTCCAGGATCATTCAACAAGACACATCTTCGTTCGAAGCGAAGACAGTCGAGAGATTCTCAATTGGTATAACACCTTACGGCTGTGCAAGTACCAGCGCCTTCGGCTTCACCTTTCCGGGACTGGTCAGAATGTCTCAGTGGATGAAATAGTCTCACACCTGACTTTTGATCTTCAGAAGGCCGGGTGGCTAATGAAGGGTGGGCCCGGCACCAATTATCCCTTCAGGAAACGGTGGGTGATTTTAGCCAAACGGTGGCTCCTTTACACGATTGCCCCACAGTCTGCCTTCGCCAAGGGCGAACTATTTATCGGATCATCTGACGATGGATTCTGGGTCGAAGCCAAAGCCCCTGATACGTGGAAGAAGACACCAACGGAATTCCCGATCACGATCGGAACACCGGATCGTTCTTTTGTATTTTGTTCCACCTCTTTGGAAGAACGCGATGAGTGGTTTGAGGCCATTTCAGCAATAATCGAGCGCCCTGTTACCCTCTTAGAAACAAAGGAAGCCGCCTCTGTTTTCAACAGACGAAAATAATTTGCATGCATTTATTTAGTCTTTTTGTAGCTTAGCTTAGTAACCGTATTCCTTGCAATTTTTTTGCATTCGGCCCACTTACTTACCAACATGTCTTAAACCACCTGTGTCAACACGACACCCTAACGTCTTGTGTCCTCTTAATATGTATTTTATATTGGTTCATCAAGTAAAGTGTGAAAAGGAAGTTCTTGCTTTTTCAAAATAAGATTTCTACGACGCCACCAAAAATTTCTTCATTTCAATCGTAACTTTTATTCGGATTTTACGTTGTTTGTGCCTACTCTACGTTTGTTGGGGCCGAATTTTGAAGAAATTTAGGAACTGCCTGTAAACTGTATCGGTGCAGTGCAAGGATCCCGATTCGTATAAATTTGCATCCACTTACGGGGTATTTTTCCAAGATTCCGCCAGCGGAATTTACCACAAAGGCAGGAATGCAGTTATTTTTTTCTCTTTAGTACACTAATGACTCCATTACAGTGACGCCACTAACTTAGATCCATGTAATTAATAAAGTCAAATTTATTTCCCTTTATTAACAGAACATCTGAATAGTTGTGGTCGGATCCAAATGGTCTTGTACTTGTATTTCGTGTTTGTCTTTCCATAATTACAGCAAACACCTCACACGTTATCACTGAGTTAAGTAAGAGCGCTCATAGTAGTGCATTTATAGCCAATTAACTGTCATTAGTGTAAATCAAGGTTCCATAAACACGACACCCTTAGGACTGCTTTTGATTTAAAAAAAAAACTATTCTCTCTGCCGTACGTTCAATTTGAATGACGTAGAATTGAGCAACAATGTGTCACCGCAGTTCGTTCACTCCTATGTTTGCTTGTTGGATTATGGTCCCCCAGTGATGATGCCGTCAGTAGTACGCTCCGGCACTTTTACGAGGCGTCTTGGAAGTAAATCAGGTTCAAAACGCGTCGGTTTGAGTTTGGAAGTCTGCTTGGCTTTGTGTTGTTATCTCCATCTTTTCGTCATATTTTGCTCGTCGTTTGTACTAGGCACTCCCAGTGAAGAGGTCGAAGGTGGTGGAGGCGGAGGAAATGTCGTCGAAGGTGAGTCTGACGCAGGGCACTTTTTTATTGGCTAAGGTGAATGTAGACAAATCCTTCCGCACTCATTCATTTCTGTCAACTTGTTTGGGGTTACTTCATAAATCACAGTCGTTGTGGGTAGCGCGGCTAACTGGTCGTTTGTGTTACCTGCAACATTTTGAAATACTTCTCCTTTTCGCACTCCCATGGCGTAAATCTGAAGGAATTGGTATAACCCATGCAAAATTTTCCATGTAAAAATAAGGCTCTAGTGTTTACCGCTGCACATATCCCCACTATATTCCTACAACCCCCCTACAACCGCAAAGTTGAGTCGTGTTGGCCATTCCCACTCGTTGGTCGTGAATCGATAGCCTATTGGTCAAAAGATTACTAGTTGTGTCAGAAAGGACATGTGGTGTAGCTCGAGAATTAAGAAAACTGCAGTTTTCTTGTCTGGTTGGTCATAGGCGTACAAGAGGGGGAGGCGGGGTGGTGTGGAGGGTAAGCTTGCGTTGCTGACGCGTGGGAGACGGACGTCAGAGTGGGAAAATGGTGATGTGGTAGCGTGTACGCAGGTGATCCCATCAAGAACCGGTCTTACGCCCCCACCTCTGCATTCATCCACTGACATCGAGTTCCCACCAGTCTAATTCTCCTAAAGTGCCTTTTAATTATGCAGCCGCTGCCCAACGTCTCCACATGTTGGCCCCAATTTTGCACTAGAGTATAATCCAGCATAAGGGGTTCTTCTAATCTAGCTCAATAGTTAGACTACTGGAGCTCTTAATTGCACATTTCGATCGACCTGCATAATCCATGCCTCCTCTCAAGGCAGCGTCCAAGAACCTGCATCCATTCGACCATGTTTTATGCCGGATCGGGGAATGCCTGTTTGCTTATCAAATAGGGCGTTTTGACTCTGATTTTTTTTATAATTTTAGAATAACGGCACACGAAGCACATCACCCGCCGATCTAGAGGATTCTTCATACTTCAAGTACTCACGTACTTGGTTACTATTTTGCGCTAAGTGTAGTTCTTAAATTCGCAATTTACTTGGACTCCTGCATAACGTGATGCGACTGCAATTTAATATTGTTGCATTTGCTATGATAAATGTTGCCACATTTAAAGGTTGCAAATCATGCATCCCTTGTTGAATCATTAACCACCACGTTACCATGCCGAAATGTGGATGTCATACCGTATGCAACCCCTTTGCCGTGTGTACACGTCATCACCCCAAGGTTTAATCAACACTGGATTCTGTCTGAACCACAAACTCCTCTTTATGTCCAGGCACAACGCGGCTCATCAAGTATTTTTTTAAAATTGCAACCCAGAATAATTTCAATTTTTGCGGAAAAACATGTTGGTAGTGTCTTACTCGGACACCATTGCCGAATAGTGTGTGTCGTCTTCATTCATTTATTCACGACAAGCATAAGAAGTGCCTTTGTGGACATGCCAGACGCGCTTCCGGGTTAGGTGGCATTGCCTCACAGCGAAAACGTGTTCGACGATTTAACTTACCCTCTGGCTGAATACATGCATTTTCCGTGGTGACGCTGATGGGCAAAATGATAAGAACGTTGCATGTGTGCGGAATACTTCGTTTTTTGGGGTTTTGGCTTATTAAATGATATTTGTAATCGATTGGACGTGTCTTCAACCCCACAACACTGGCTTTTAATATTTCTATTTCATAATCGGTTGTTGTGCAGTTACGCACCATTTTATATCCCTTTTCATGAAAATCGATCTTTGAAGTTGTACGCTTGAAACATTTGTACTGTTTGTAGCTTGCATACGCACTTTAACATTTAAATTGTACTTCTTTAAGTTCCAGTAAACCTTAAATTTGTGGTTAGACTTCATTTCAGCTGCAGGAGAGTCGTTGGCAGCCAAGCCGGGTGCATTCCGTCACGTTTGTGTGCGTGCCTGCAGTGAAGTGTGAGGTGGTCGACGCAGTACACTTTTTCTTAGTCTTTGAGATGCGTTTATCGAATTAAAAGTGGATGCTTGAGTCCTCGATCGATTTATTTTTTTCTGTCAGATAATCAAAGAACTCTAAGTAACCACCTGATATATTATACTTCGTGGTATCCACTAAATACAATTTTGGTTTGTACTTTCACTAAGACAATGTAAAAGTCATTTTTTGCTTCTTTTGTAGATCATATTCTTTTTGTGATGTCCACGCCATGATGTTGTCGGATAAAATTCGCACAATGACTTACCAGTATGTTTTTCCATTTATTTATCTATTTAAACGATATTTGTCTCGCTCGCTTTCCACTCACGGAACAGTAGGAACTGATGGCATTTTAGATCCAACCAACTCTTAGTTGACACTATGAAATCCTGGATCATAGGCGTTTTGTTCCTCATTTCTTTGACTATTTTTTCAACCTTGGCTTGCTGATTTCCTCCTTCTCCGGTATATACCATCTTTGACCAAAGCCACACACACGCAGTCCATCAAAAGTGCCTGCTTCAGCAAAGACACTGGCAGATTCGTGGACCTGTATGGCAGCTCTGAATCAAATTTTATTTGCGACTATCTCCGGTTGTTGGTTGTAGCAAATTTCCAGTGTGACTGATGCATTCACTAACTGTTTTGACTAATTAACAACATTACCGGCCCCTGGTTTTGTTTGGGCTACTTGTAAGCGTCGCCTGTAGTGTTTGGTCGTAGTCGCGTAGTGTGGCTCAAACCCACATCAGGATAGGACAACCGGCTATCTCAGGCCCGGATACGATACTCAGACGAACCCAGAAAGGGCCAGACCCCGTGGGCACTGGCGACACGACCTCTTACTAGGCAGTTTTAAGCTCAGCGTGTGTACACAGGGGCGTTAGTGCTTACAAGTCACATCCGTGCACGACACAGGTGACAGGCCAGGTGTGTCGTGTGGATAGTATCATAAGTAGGTTGGGTCAGGTTGGAAAAAAAAGTGGAATGAGGTGATAGAGGTGACAAACATGATTTATGCGCAGCCTACGCAAATTACATTTCCTTTAACCTGAAATTTTTTCGGCAAATAACTAGTTCTGTCGCAACAAACTGCTGTTGCAAATGCGGAATATGCAATCCGCGTTGAGGTAATACGTGCTGTGTGTGCAAATGGTAAGAGTCCCTTTCAAATTTCAGGTTCCGTTGTCATTTGCATTCCCCTGGTTGCTTTGGTGTTTTAATTAAGAGATTAGACACCCCTGAATGTTTTAATCGATTTTGATATAATTGCAATGGTGTCTGCCCGGACGAAACCCTAATACATAAATAGAGCAATGGTGTCAAGTTTTGGCACTCTCTCCTAATGCCGTCAACTAAATGCCTACTTTGAATATCATTTATCAAAAATTGCCAAATTAGCTGTGTAAGTGGTTTAGAGGAGGCCTAGGCCTTTCTGGAGAAAAAACCGCTTTCGGCTATTGGTTTGTTTCGCGGCGCAGGGACCTTTACTGTCAAATGAACGAGAACTGGCTAACCTCGGGTCTAGGCTAGCATTTCGCTAAGCTAGCCCATTTACGCACTTACCGCGGTTGCGTGTGGTACATATACCGAAATCGGGATTGGTTGCCGCATCGCTTTAACTGCCAACTACTTAAGCTGAATTATTACCGAGCCTGTCTGTGGTTCTTAGCCCGAATTTACTTTTCCGTCTGGCTGCGTTATCTGCGTTTAAGTCCCGCTCGGTTAAATGGATTATTCACATCGATAGTTGGACTGTTTCTAATCAACACAAAAGCTTATAAAGTACACAAGTATTGCTACCTTTTCTATTAATTCAACCGCCCAAGTTTACAACCAAACCTGCTTATTTTGAACTTAGCTTAGTGCTAACCGCCTCTACCTAAACTTGCTTTTTGATTGGTCAGTTACATCAACCTCCAAGAAAGAGTACTTGAAATGCCTCGGTGATAGTCGAGTCAACTATTGCAGTCTCTTTCCCTTCAAATGCCACATTACTGAGTGTGTTCGTCACCTGTTGCTGCGGTTGAACCGCATTTAGTCCATTGTGCAACGTCGATTTTCTCTGTTACCATCCTATGTAATAAATAAACTAAGCCTGCGTCGACAAGCTAATTTGTGACTTTAGTTTAGCGAATTTTATTTACTTTATTGAGTATTGACGAAGTAGGTAGTAGTGTTGACCGGCGATGAAGAGAGCTAGTAAGAGTGAAGTGGATGGTGAGCGCACTTTCCTATATTTTGTGTCTCTTAAGTGCACTGATTCCTCTTCCATGCCTAAACTGCTGTTAGTTTAAATAAAGGAAGACCAAAATGTGGAATAATACCAGTCACGTGGTGCTGTACTAATTCCAAGGCCTGTTCGTGTGGTTTACTGTTCCTGGCATTTGTGGTGGTTTTGGAGTTAGTCTAACAAGAACAGCCAGGCATGGGTTCTGTCAGTTTTTGACACTTCTTTATGTGGTTCCCTTTTCCTTCGTTCTTATCTACTTGTCATTATTTATGTGGCTTTGATCTAACTGGGAACAGGCTTACCCACTGTGCGCCTAATTGCTACAAGCGCTTCAAACAAAAGGTCGTAATTAAAAGCTTGAGATGCACCCAAGCAGGCATTGCCGCCTGGACTAATCATTTCGCACCCTACCCCAACAGTTCAGTAGCCACTTGTCAGATGTACACCTTCCTTAGGACCATGAAACTGGCACAGTAAAACGCGACTTTATTTGTGTAGTTTTATCGTTACTTCAGCAGGAAGGCAGCAGTTTGTCGCTGTGATCTCATGCGTGCTCATGTGCCACGTGGTAATGACTAGGGGTATTTACGTCAAATGTTTTTTGGTATAGCATCTGCTTTCAAGCGTCTCTCATGCCCCTTTTAGGATGGCACTGACTAGAGCCAGAAAAAGGCTACAAGGCGGTGCACTCTTGGACGTTGGTTGTGGTACGGGCATTTTATCGATTTTTGGTGCCAAAGCCGGGGCCAGACACGTCTTTGCTCTGGACGCCGTCGCTAGCCTCACGGAACTCGCCAAGAGGATTGTCGATGAAAATGGCCTCGCAGACAGCATCACTGGTACGCACTGTTGCCTTTTTTTGCATTCCCGTGATTAAAACTAGTGAACAGGCACGATATCATTTGAGCACATGCGTTCGGATGGTACTTTTGGCGAACCTTGTGGTTTAAAATTCACCTGTACCGCTTGTTGTTCTGTCGAGCGAGTCATTTGAAGCCACAGCCTTGCATGGTAAAGGTGGGAGAAGTTGCCTCGGAGCTAGAATTGTTGCCTTCAATTGGCGTTGGATAGTTGAATAGCGCCGGTGCACTAGCATCGTCATAATCTCGTCTATTGGTTACGAGGCTGTTAGCCTACAAAAGCACAGTTATCAATCAAGTCTTGGTTGGAATTCATTGTTGGCGGGCAAGCAGTGAAAGGCATGTTCTCATGCATTGACCTAGATTGTGTTCAGTGGGACCCAAATTCCACGTTTTTGAATCTTTCCCATTTGGTAGGGCAAACCCTTGAAAAGCGCTGTTTGGAGCTTGCAATTCCGCACCTTAAAAACTTTCGAGGCTGCTGCCCGGGGCGCGGCTGGTCGCCAAGATCGAAATCATCACTTCTAAAACGTTTGTACCAATAATTACACATTCCATAAGACACAACTTCGGCACCAAGAACACTACGAATTGATTTCCCCATGGCTTAGAGGCATACGATTTCCTTGTTGCCGAATGTGCTGTTTATCAGTTGCCATCGTACACTTTGTTATACTGAGATGCTTATGTAACTTACGTAGACTTGTCGTTCAGCGTTCTGGGACCTTGCATCCGATCCTTTCAAAACCACAAAAGACCGCATAAACATCCTTGATTTAAATGTAATTCTGTAAAAATCAAATCATGCACCCGATGCCTTCATCATTTTACCTTCCCCGCCGTAGTACTTAACGTCAAAGTTGAAGACTCCCAACTTCCGGTGGACCGTGTCGACGCGCTCGTGAGCGAGTGGATGGGCCATGCGCTGCTCTACGAAAACATGCTTTCCTCGGTTTTGGCCGCTCGCGACAAGTACCTCCGTCCGCCGTCAACCACCGCCTCGGCCGACGACCTCGCCCAGTGGCGCCGACGCCGTCTCTTCCCCTGCGCGGCGACTCTCTTCATTGCCGGCTTCTCCGAAGACGTCGATGACACTGCGGAGGAATGCGACTCAAGCAACGGCATTAGACACTGGGAGGAACTGTCTGATCTGTATCGAGTGAGTTGTCAAACCTCGTTCTGCTTCTGGGTGGGTGGGAAGGCGTTAGAAAAGACTCTCTGGAGATCGTACTTCTGCTTTGTCGATTTTGTTTCAGGTTGAGTTGTCCGGTGCATTTGCGTCTGCTGTAAGCCAGGAGTTCGAGAGCCAGGTTCACGTGGACGTAGCTGACCCGAGATCCATTGTCACCACTGCCTGCGCGCTAACCACCCTCGATCTGGCGACCCTGCGTGCTGACGAAATACTCACTCAAGGCGTGAAGGTGCGCTCTGTTGTCCTTTTCGGCAGTTTTTGAACTCTTCGCCTCATTACCTAAATAGTGATATACATCCACCAAATTAACCTCCTATTTTGACTTTATTTAAACTATTCCGTTCATTGGCATCAAGTGGCGGCGAGTCGTGTTGTGCCGTGTCCATTAACCCGGTCGTCGCATATTTAGACTCGCTTGTCACGACGTCTCCATGCCTCATGCGGAACCGTCTGTTCAGACATACACCACCACCACCACCACCACCACCACATTGAGCCGTTTGGACTTTTGCGAGTTCATCCAGGCTGTATTGATTATCGATCCCCATGAGCCAGACACGACTTTGTCTGCACGACCGCCTACACGACCCGTGTCTACAATCTTCAGTCATTAATGCCTTGGCAATTGTTTTTTTGAGATTGAGACAACGTCTGTGATCCTTCCATCCTGTCCATAAATTGGGTTCCCAAAATGGCAGCAAATTTTGGAATCACCGGCTAGCCTCACACTGATGGACTTTTTAACAAGCCTCTGATTCCAGTCATGTATATTTTACCATTTTAAGTTTCTTTTTTTTCTGTGAAAATTGATGACCTTCTTAAGTGTTTTCAATTCATTGGCCCCACCCACTACTGATTCTTTTGTGTCCTCGTATTTGCGAAATGTTCGCTTATCATTCTTCTGTCACTCGATGCCATTAGTGCTTAAGTGTGGGCTTGTCATTTCACGCCACTCTTGTTACTTACCTTGTATTTCCGTTAGTACGGCTACTTACATGGTTTAAGTAATGTGTTTCTGAATATCTTCAATTAGGGAAGTTTTGAAGTGAAGTCAATGGGTACGGTTGAGGTGTCGGGCTTCGTCATTTGGTTCTCAGTGGAGTTTCCAGATGGTGATGTACTCTCAACATCACCATACAAAACGTACGTTTTACTTAAAATAAGCCCATTTATTAGACGTTTGCATAAATTAGCTTACTAGGCTCGTGAACGCTCGGTGATGGAATTGCGTCAATTGTATACACCGTTCGCTACACCCTGCAGCCGCTTATTCGTGTTGATTACGTCCACATAGTTATACAGATAGGTAATCAAAACGCGTGCACGGTGGCGTTTTGCAGGTGAAGCGTGTATCATAATAATTGAATCAAACTGGAATGGATATGACCGTTTGACGGCTGATAATGCTGTCTACTTTCCTATTGGCGGCATTCAAATGTCTCCCAAGGGCATACGTCAAAGCTGAGCAAGTTCTTTAACTGACTGCATCGTGTTTCCGTGTCTGCGGGTTTTCTCGGCCAATCCGGAGCAACTTACGCGATCCGTGTGCTTATCGTGTAACCCTGTGTGGTAGGCAAGGCCTTGGTGACTGCTTTTAGCCCCCACCAAGCGAGGTACTCATTTGGTTAAGGTTGCCGGTTGCGGGTAGATCGCACGTGAGCTCAATGAGCAGTGAACAGTGGGAGTAGAAAAATTAGACAAGAAACTGTTCGTTTTTGGTGTGTGGTATGTGGTCTGTTGAAACATGTCACGCATGCATCAGTCCGCGCCACATACCGCAATTAGCCTCACCCCGCTGCACCTCACAATCACGTGTAGTTCTGTGGCGGTTACCGGGCTTTATGCCATCGAAATTCCAGTCTCCGTTTTTACTCTAGACCTACGCATTGGCAACAATCCCTGATCTTCCTGTCAAAGACGCTGTCCATGCGGCAAGACGACGTTCTAAGCGGAGCGGTGCACTTCACCCATCCGTCTAACGCTCGCAGGTGAGACGACTTTTTTGCCCTTTACGCAGTTAAACCGACGTGAATGATGAGGCAGTTGAAGCGGATGAAGGCGATGTCGGGCATTTTTAGTCACCAAGACAGCTAAAAAGAAAGCCGATGTCGAAAAGGCAAATGGGTCAGTCGTTTCCCCACCGATTGTTCTAGTCCTACCCGAGTTCAGTGCTCATCGGCAAATGTCCTAGTGGCACAATTAAAACCAGTCGTTATGAGTAGGGTTTACGCACTTCTTTACTTTGGCAGAATGAGCAGTCGTGTTGCGACGCCCCTATGCTCCCCACACCCATCGCGGTTATCCTAACTAGTAGATATTACAACAAATGCATTCGTATGCCACTAATGTCGGGTTTGAATAGCGTTCCACTAAAAATAGTACAGTAAAACAAAGGGTTTTACGAAAACAGCATGAGACACATGACAGTTGGGTAGGCCGTAACAGATGTCATTCTAGGCGCTCGGATGTCAACACGCCTAAGTCTGGAATCGGTCCCTTCACTTGCCACAGAAGGGCTAAACAGCCTGCTTTTTGTCCACTAGCTGCACATCGTGGATTTCTGCACCTAACGCTTGCATTTACTTTAGGGATCTAGAGATTTCGGTTGAATTCATGCTAAACCAATCCAAGGATACTCGAGAAAGGCGCACCTATCACCTAGCAGGATGACTTCGGCATTTCCTGATGAGATAACGGGCAGAAAATTTTATTCCTAGATGTTATGTTTGTTAAAAATAAACAAATAAATGTATTATCTTATCAATTTTCTTTAAGATTGTCTTTCTTGGTTTTTTTTCTTTACACTAATACACCTCAGTCAGATGAACGATCATACATTCTGCTTTTTTTACTTTTGAGATTACTCTTTTCCCATTCAATTCAACTTTTCTCCGCCTCCAGCAGATTTAATGAGTTCCGGAGAGGCTTCCGGCGTATTTAGTTAAGATGTAACTTTGACTGAATCGGGTCTTAGGAGGCACCCGATGGTCTTCGCCTTTGATACAGCACGAAGCACCAAGGGTAGGAACTCACGTGTTTCCACGACGGCTCAACTGCGTTGTGTGGGTGTGTCGCGTCACTGTCGTGCACGTCTAATGGAGATTATCGATCGATGCAACTTGAATGAACTAGTAAAAGTACAAATGGCCGGATGTACGGCGTGGCAGGCGCCCTTCCGCGTGCGTGTGCAGACTGTGTCTGAGGCCGCAGTGACGGAGTTAGTGGACGTGAATCACTGCAAGTAACCACAAACTTAACCGAAGAGATTCACGAGCTTTGACTCTACGCAAAATAGTTGATTGAGGAATAGCTGATAGAATGTCTCTGATATTTTGCACTCCTTTAATTCCCTAAGCGGCACAGTACAAAAAAAGGCCAACAAACTTTCTAAATGCGTACAAAAGCAAACTTGTTGAGGAGATCGTTTTACTTAGGCCCCTTCGATGACTTGCACAAAAGCTGATTTGTCGGTTTCACTGCCTTCCTGCGCAACACACTTCGAATTTAGGCTTCCTTTTTCCTTTTGCTCGTCTCCTGCAGTATTTTGGTGTCGAGAATCCCTTGGTTAATGAGACCTCGAACTCGCTGGCGTTCGCGTGCTGCAAGCTCTTTTTCGTGAAGATCCGCCTGTCTCTAAAGCGTAGAATGAAGTCAAGGGCTGACTCGCCTGTTACTATATCAACCTGGAGCGAATTTAGCAGTCATGCCAGAGTATTATCTAACTTCTGTCTGTATTCTTTCATGCTGGGTACACGGGACAGTTGTTTAGATACCCGAACTCCCATCAGAGGTCATCCTAGCATCCTAACAGGAACCAATTAAATTGTGATTGGAATTTGGTACCTTGAGACATCCATGTACAGTTTTTGCAGCAGCGTAATTTAAGACTTTCTGGACCTCAGAGTCTAGTGGTGCTTTATTTCATCCTCTAGCGACTGTGAATTTGCTATTAAAAAACCTAATCCTCCCTCTCCTCAGTGGGTTTTGGTCACATTGATCAGTCTCCAATAGAAAATACTGGTGAATACTAAATTTGCTGGTTTCGCTTCGATTCGGGGATTATTTTACCGGATTTCGGGGAACCTAAGAGACTTGTATCTGTACCACATTAGAGAGCATTTGTGTTTAACTGAAATTATGTTACGTTTGCCCGTAACAAAGAAAAAGCCACTCAAATAACGGTACCAGATCCCTTGCTGACGCTAGAGCCGACGGTCCCACACTAATACAAGAACAAGACCAGAGCACCTGTAGAGAGCTTTATTCACGTCAGCCAAGTGCGGAATGGAGTGTCGAAAGTGAAACTAATTCAAGTCAGGGTTGACCTTGACTTGTTAAAAAGTATAACAAAACACATGTTAGTGAATTATTGTAAATAGCATCAGAAACCAACGACGAGCAATCGTGGGGAATCATGGATCTCCAACAAATTACTTCTGCAATTAAAATTTGCAATTCAGAATCCACACCGTTAATTCGCACACATGTACACTTGAGCCTAAATATGAAACCCTGATTGATTCTCTGATTTTAGTGTAGTTATCAGATTGCATGAGGTATGATGAAACAGTGCAACTGTAGTGCCGTCTGTTACCCAGCCGTTTTATATATAGAGGATAAGTTATTCGTCCACAAGTGATGCCGAAGACATACTTACCTGTGCCTCTCTTTCGAGAGCAGCCTGCAACTTCTTAATTGCCGCGTGGTCGTTTATGTCAATTGCCGGACTACCCACCAGTCGAACGAGCCGAGCTCTCACTGCCCGGAAGTGGGATGCACTGGAGGAAGAGTAGGCCATGTAGGCAAACGTCGAGAGCAATGAACAATGGGCTTCGATCCCCGTACACGTTGCCATGCCGACCTTCACATTAATATGCACGAATGCATAATGCACTGGTATAAGAGAGCAAAGATGGTTTTGGTGTTGCCTTGTCGCTGGTGCCGAATGAAATTTTGTATGTAAACATCAAAGGTCGGAATTCAAACGACGGTCTCCTGCTTCACTCCCAAGTCTTTGCAGATTCCTTTTAGTTCTACTCATCACAATAACGTATGATCCTTCACCAATCTGCCAATTTTTCCAAACAAATAAAATTGCAAGAAACGACGCCAGCCTCCGGGAATCAATTCAGGGCCAGAGCAAAGTTCCAAGCAGGGGGCAATTTGACTGGTTAGCTCTAGTAATAAATGCGACGCAAGCTGCATGACGAGAGGGATTCGCAGGTGCCGAATGCGCTCACATGTCATTGGTCAACTGCATCAGGGCATGGGAATGTTTACTGCCGATATAATAATAAGTAAAAGGAATAAACAGGCAAAAAAGGTTTGTATTTGTTTAAATTAAAATTCTTTAGTTGTTGAATAAATACGACTGCTCATCCGAACAGAGCTTTGTAGCAAACGTGATATTGTATTTCCTTAGTGGAATCTTGAGCGCAGAAATCCAGAATTGTAACACATTCAGAGAAAATTTGCAAGCATAATACAAAAATTCCGCTCTTAAATGTTCCAGAAGTTTCAAATCCAAACAATGGCATAACACGGCTTCAATTTTTTGGGCCTTGGATGCTTTATTACAGGGTAAGCTGGTACCATAAGCACATAATTATTCCCAATTAAGATTAATTGACTTTGTGCCAACCCTAATGCATTATATGCCAAAAAATAAATTATTCATATTCAGATAGGTAGCGGTGGCGAGGTGGTGTGGGCCTGTGAATAGCCTACTTGTAGGACTAATCACGAGCCTCTGAAATGGTGCTAGAAGCATAAGGTTGAGCACTACAAGCCTCTTAACATCGAGTATAAGGGATGGCAATCCGTCAACCCCTGCACGGGAAATTAGGCTCACCATGTTTAACTTCAGTGAGTCTGCTTCAACAGCCACTAAAATCAATCGAAATTCAGACAGATTGTCAAATTTCGTCTATCGTATTTGTTGTTTAGCGTCGGTCACCCTATCCTGTTATCAAAATTTGTGGAGGCACAAATTCGGGGCCACAGTGAAGTTAAACCCAGCTTCATCATGATGCTAACTAGGGAGAAGCAGGCTTCGACCGATAAATTCAACTCAGAATTCGGTCAGTCCGCGTTGAATCCGATGTAGCCATACCTCTTCATTTTGATCAACAGACGGCATCTTCTTAATTTCTAAATTTAGCCTTATTACAGTCTAGAGTATTTATTACAGGACGGCAGTTCAAAGGTCTGCAATCAATCAGTACCTTTTAAACTGAAGATTATTCATCTACATAACTGTTCGATGGACTTAAATAGTCCAAAGACACGAACTAACTGTATTTTTAAATAAACACATATATGTTTGAAAACAAGCACTAACGAAAATCCGTATGTATGCTTGAATACTACTACTACCACTACTACTACTACTACTACTACTACTACTGATGATAATAATAATAATAATAGAGCTATAGTTATTAAGAAGCATTAAGAATTCAACATAATTTATGCCATCGGAATTTGACAGTAATATCGAAACAATATTAAAAAGTACTCGCTAATTTATCCATAATGAACACTGCATCAAGGACAAAAGCAAGAAACTCCTTGGGGATGCAAAAATTAGATCCTTTTTAAAGTGTTTTTTGTAAATGATCCCTGGTTTATGCGAAAACTAAGTAATGTCAAGATTTATTTAAGAAAAATGGCAAATGAGATGAATATTTTAATTTTTTTAAAAGATTTCCTTAAATAAATATAACAGAAAAGTGGAACATTAAGTGGCTGGAACAAGAGAAAAAAATTTAATAACTCTAGTTCGTGTACAATTTTTGAGCGACTAACTCCTTCCTTAGTCCGCAAAACCACAGTGGTAATTTAGATTACCCCACATAATCTTGGATGACAGAAGCGTTGCCTAATAAGATTGGTTAATGTATTTATGACATGTGTTTTTTTGTGCACAATTCAGTGAAGTCATGTTATTGTAATAAAGTTTATCATAAATTGTGGATATCTGCAGTAATACTACTTTTTATTTACATATTGATTCCACAGAAATTCATAATTTCTTGATTTTTCAAAAACCAATCACTAATGTTGGCGTCTAAAATACAGGCTTGACCAACTTTCTTTAGTATACTTGGTCCTAGGGAGCTTGGCTTCCAAAGCAGACTAACCAGAAGACCACAGGTACCTCCATTAGGAATACGCTTGTAAACCCAAACAATTCACTATCCGTCTTGTGATGAATTATATGTATCTGCTCTGCCTAATATTCACCAATTTCTTGATTATATTCTTTAACCTCTACCCAATGAATACTACTGCAATACATACTTCTGTGGTGTTAAAAAATGTCTGTGTTCTCATTATGTCTTTTTAAATACACATCTAGTTGGTTGATCTAACGTATTCCAAAACAGACGGGTACGTTTTCAATTAGGCATTCTTCAATGCTGTATAAATCGCTAAAATATTACGAACACATTAGGTAAAAACGTAGTGGGCAACAAAGAAATCCATCATTTTGGACATAATATTAAAATCCTCCACGACTCTTGGACTATTTTAAGAACGTATTAAATGGATAATAGTACGCATATATTTAGCATCAAATTTTAATTCCATAATTCGTTAATCCAATTGAAAAAGATACTTTCATTTTAGGCAAATATGCAAGTTAATAAAACCAGAGTCATTAACGTGACTAGTGCAGAGTAAAAGCCAGTCGGAGCAACAAGTTAACTAATCATTCGAATTGCTCAAATTCAGACTACAAAACTGTATTTTGTTTAAAAGAGATGCAATAAGATTGTAATGCAATGTATTTGACGGCTTAGTTCCTTCGCGTTCGTATGACATTGACATTTTAACTGCTGTTCAACCTAGATGTCACTAAACGATATTAAAATGTCATATACAAAAATTTATTAAAGTCGTTTTAATAATTTACATTCTTAAATTAAAAAGCAAATAATACGTGAAATGCAAAGTTCCGATTAACACCTCCGCACAAAATTTTCATGAAAAGTACAGGTTAATTTAGAGTGTTCAATTTTTGTAAATAGCATCTCGTTTACAAAAGCATCTGTGAAGTATACATTCAAAGGTTTCACCAGGTTGTGATGAAATTCTTGATGATATTAGCAATGGATAATGTGACGATAATACAGAGTGCCAAATTTTTAAATTTGAGCTTTCACTCAAATAATCTTAGGAGATCGATGCTGACGTTAAACTTTAAAGATGTGGTATATGTATTCCTTACTCAATCGAACTATCACGTGGTCTGTGTATTCCTACTAAATATTATAACAGTTAACTCGAGAACTTAGTTTACTGTATCAGAGGCTATAAAGTGACATAACAATTAAATAGCTATTGATTACAAAGTAGAGCCTCTAGGTAAATAAATGGCTAATTTACCCTATTTGAACTTTGCATTTTGCTTGGTTATCCTTTTCTCACGTCTGTAAGGTCTGGCGCGTTTTTTAAAGTAGTCGGTTTACGTGTGTCCCAAAAAGAGAGTTTTTCATCACTGGTGAAATATTTTTCGAAAAAAATTATTAAAATTTAAAACATTTATTCACTGGCTTTAGGCGCAGTGAGGTTTGCTATTAGATTACCTTTTCTTTACTATGTTAGGTCGCTGATTATGTCCGAAAAAGGCGATTTATTCGCGGATATCCTTGGCTGTACTGGCTGGTAGCACCTGTTTGCACCAATTTGTGTAGAAAATGACAAATCCCTGGGAATCGTTATGCAGGGACCTTGCAACAGGCCCAACGTGCTCTTGTAAGATAATTGTACCTCTAACGGCCTTTAGTACCTCAGCGTTCCTGTTTTAATTCCGTCAAAATTCATGGTACGATTTTTTACGCTTTTACGGGCTTTCAGGGCTTACTTCAGTTAAGTCTGGCTTCATCCCTGATGAGCGATTATTGGCATGCAAAACGTGTGGCGTGATCTTTCTTCACGACAAAACAGAATCGCATTATGGTTCGCATTTACCAACAATTTATGATTTTTCTATTTAGATGCTTTTCACGAGTGTCTTTCAAAAGATACTTCTAAGCCGGATCTGTTACCATATCATGCTGTAAACCTGTGCCAAAAAATTTATGAGGCTGCCCAATTAGAAGAGAAACTCGCTCATAAACGATTAAAAACTGGTTCAATTCGGAAATCAAAATCCCTCAGAGTTTTGTCACATGCTAACCATTTTGGAGACAGCTCCGTCACAAGCACATCAGATCGTCAGAGAAAGCGCACTACGCTGAAATCAAGGACGTCCGGCGATTCTCCTTCTGTTTGCAACTCTCTCGATCGAGACAAATTGTCTTCGTCATCTAGTTGTGATAGACTGTCCCATAGTGGAGTAAATAGTCCTGATTCTCCTGGGACAGAATCTTCTAGCTCAGCGCCTTCAAAATTGATTGAAAATCCGCCAGATCTGCCAAGTATATATCCACGAAAGGGTTTAATGGAAATTTTGCAGGAAGAATCTGCCTCATTGGTCTCAAGAACACGTCGTATATGTGGGAACCCCTCTAAACCCGTACCTTCACACCCTTTATGTCGCAGTTCTATCAGCTCTTTAAGCGTCTCCCATTCTCAGTCGTACCCCTCGAGTCCGTCATCCCCCAGCCTTGGTGATAGGAAAGAGTCGATTAGCATCTCTCAGAGTGTTCATTCCATCAGAAAACAAGTACCTGTAACAACTATGCAGCCAGCTAGTGCTGAACTGTCTCAAGTTCGCTCAAATAAACAGTCACCTGCTGAAGTACAGATTCATTCTCGTCTGAGATCCCAATTCGAAACTTATTTGCCTCACTCCTCGTCTTTCAGACACCAGCACGTAGTTCGCCAAACACCAACTTCAACAGTTCCTATCAAAGGAGTCGAAACAGTCAGCTTGATTTCAAATGATGGTCCTGATACTGATGTTGAAATGCCTCATGGTTTCAGTGCCGGCGACGAATCTGTTGCTGCAGTTTATCATCTTGAGCAGGATAGTCGGACACAATTTGGAAGGTCGCAGCAAATAAGGTCCAACCGACCTTCAAGAAACGGTTCAAAAGCTTCTCTACCTAGTTACCTTCGTGCCGCCCAAAATGAAAAGCAATGGAATGCCTCTAATTTTGTTGCCGCTTCTGGTAACTGGTCTAAAAATTCACATCTGCAAGTGACGCAACCAAATTATTACAATGCCCTCTTTGATGCTGATTCGCTGCGCCCCCACAAGAGCGAACAACGCCCATTCAACTCGGATTTTGGGGTGTATGGTAAAGCATTGAGAAATCCTTCTGAAAAATCTGTTAATCAACAGCATGGCGTTATCGGAAGGTCAGCCAACGAAGACTCCGAGCGTTTACACCGAGAGATATTGCACAGTGGTAATCTGTTACTTTGCTAACTGCCCTTTTGTAGATACTGTGATAAATTCGCTTACACAGTGTGGTTGTGTTGAAATGGATGATTTGCGTTGCAAAAATTCAATACTCTGTACGGTAAGTTTTTACATTTTGATTCCTCCGAAAAGTGCACTTTTACTTGGCACCATCTTCCAAACTTGTTCTCAGTAGTGAGCGAAGCCTTTTCATATTTTTGTTTTACTTTCATTAATCCGTCTAAAGGGTGCTTGCACCTCTCCAAAAGCCTCAGTTTCGTGTTGCTGTATACTCGCCAATCGACTGGATTTTCTACCATGTCCATGAGTCCATTGATTACTTTCAGTTTTGTGCTGGAAGGATGGGCTTATAATAAATATTCCTCTGCTCCCAGTAATAAATTCATTCGTAGTTGTCTGCAATATCGTGGAAAATATTTGTAAAAATGCGCTCCGTGTTAGATTCATAAAATTTCAGGTTTGACGGAATTACGTCAGCTTGTCTCGAAGCACACCCAATTTGGTCTGCGGATGCCTTTTGCTAAACGGTCGCCTTAAATTTATTTGCTTTATTAAGAGACGATTCGCCAGTTATTGAGATAAAGCAGCATTTAGCGTAAGGAAATTAATTCATAACCTCCAAGCAAGTTATTTTCCCTTTTATTCGAAGTGGCATTTTTTTTCTTTTTTCTCAAAAAGCAATGTGCCTTAGGACTCCAAATAACTCAATACCCGAACTCTGCCTCCATTAAGATTTTAAAATTTCTCCCATATGAATCATCGTTATTCTCATTGGTTCAAGTCTGGCCAATATCCTGAATGTAGTGTGATTCTCTACCCCAGTTCACTAGTATACAGTGATAAATCTTGTAGTATCAAGGCTGGTCGTTGTCATAAAAAATTCTTCAGTCGCTTTTTAGTTACGGATATTGCAATGCAAGTTCTGTGGGCGTCAAATGTTGTGCACTGGGGTGCATTGCTACCTCATGGCTTGACCTCAGTGTTTCCATAATTCGAAAGTTGGTTTTGGTTAACAACTTCGCTTAATATCTGAATGCTTCTTTGCTACCATCTATCCAAAAGGTTATTTCTACCGGCCAATGCTGATCTGAGATCCTACTTTACTCCGTGTTTTAAATTGATGCGGAAACTTGCCAGGTCTATAAATTAAGCCGATCTCATGCAACTTCGTCCCTATAAATGCATTATTGAGACCGAATTACACATCGGTCTTACTTTGCCTGGATCTTATTTAATGTCTGCTTTAAATGCATTTCTATCCACGGAGTAACGACGTCACAGGTGTTTTCCACTCAAGTTATTTTTTTCATGTTGGGAATGCTGAAGTGGATTCTGGCCTTCTCTCAGACTGCCTATGTTCCCTCCAAACTCATTAACCCCTTCTCAGAATAATTCCAATGCCGTTATTTTGTAATCTGGGGTCATGCAACTTGTTTCTCTAGCGTTTCTGGTTGTCTAACTTTTTGAACCTGTTGAAAAAGTCAGTAAATCACTCTAAAATCCCGTTTCGTGTGTGTGTACTTGTGCAGTGAACTGTATTCGGTATTGATTTAAGGACTTGGGCGATGTTTTACTTATCAACGCAGATGTCAATCAGGGTTCTACGTATAGCTGATAGCGTACCTGACTTCGTAACAAATGCAGTTCAGTCGAAAATTTCACGTGAAATTAATCTGGGCATGCAAGGATGCAATCGTTGGTGATGCATAGTTCACACAACCCACGCTGGAAGTGTTTCATGGCTTTGGTTAGCTGGCACTGACTTCTTGTTAGGTGTTTAAATTGATTCAGACGGAACGTTTCATCAGTGTGTACGATTATCCTAAACATGGAATCATTGTTAATCATTTTAGCGCCCCCCAAGAATTCGAGGTTATTTTTCGGTCAAACAGCCACATCAGTATCACAAACGCGTATCACAAAAAAAGATTGTTGGTTATGTTGCGAAGCCTTTTACTTTGCCGACAGACTGAATAGGTTATCAGCACGTTTTATGAGGTCAACGTTGGTATTTGTCAAATCATCACACGTTTCGGATCGTGGAGTCACAGGCTTCAATAAGATTAACTGTAATAAATGAAAAGTTTTGAATGCCGTTGATCATCCAGTAGCTCGAATGCACTTTGACTGCCATAAATTTTATTTAGAGGTTCGAAAGCCGCTACTGCGGGTTATGACGGCAAATTGAGAAGAACTACCCCCTTATACTACACATAATTTATGCTGCTGCTGCATTTTTTTCCTCCCCTCGTTTTAATTTATGCTAGAATCCGGGATTTCTCTGGGTTGTCAGTCTCTTTTGATCATATCCCTTGAAAGTGCAAGTTTTAAACGGTAAATACGTACGCACGCCTCACTCAGCAGCATTTACTTAAGTAGAACCAGTCTTCATAACTGCCACTTCTAATAAGCGTATGCTCTCCTAATAAACGTGTTCATTGAACTGATCTGAAATTGAATTCACCTGTAGGTAATAAAATGTCTGCACGACAATTTAGCTTGTTCGAATAATTCTGCTTTTCGTTTACTCCGTGGATGTGTGTAGCATTGATTTTTCAAATCACTACTAATTGCACACCATTGTTTAAAACTTACATTGGTTCTGCCATCTTCGTGTTTCCCTCGATATTTTTAGCATTCAAGAAATGAATAATTTGGGACAAATGAGTCATAGCCTTATCGTTTTTGCACTTTATGGTCTTATTAATGTAACTTTTTGTCAGTGCTGCCCTTCGACGAATTGCTATCACAAGCGTAGACAAATTTGGGGCTGTATGTGTTATCGATCGGCAGTTGACAATGAGAGCTTAATAACGTGCAAAGTGTGCTTTGAAATCTTCGAGAAGTTGGCTCAAATTTGGACCGGTGAAGAAGCTTATTACTTGATTGCTAAAGTAGTTGCATGTCAACCTCTGAGGTCGAATGGTATTCGTCGCTTGATGGCAATTGAACTGAGTCCCCTTTTAGACATCATGTTAAAGCTACTTCATTTATTGAACCCTTCTTACCTAGATCTCACGTATATTGTTTTAATGCGAATCACGACCACCAAGCTACTGAATTTGTCCCACCAATTACCGCCCACAGTTAGTCAAACTTGAAGGACTTAGACAGGGTTTGACTGAAGATAAACAGCAGAGGTATTGTGTCCCACCATGACAACACTAAACCATGTTTCTATGGTAGCCCAGTAAAAATCAAAATAACTTGGCCGAGGTGTTTCAGGCTATACCACGCGACGGCCGTTTTTCCAAACCTTATTAATCTCTACTACATGTGCCGAAAAACAATTTTTTTTTCCTTTTCAAAATCAGTAAAGCATTTCTTATTTTTAAAGCATCCTCGATTATTGACGAGAGACTTTCATTCAATATCTGTTATACTAAAGTGACAGTGGTGTCCTTATGTATTTAAAAAATTTGTGGATTTACAAGGATATGTACAACTTGTTTATCCTCAAACCCCTTACTACAACAATTGTCAGGCTGAAATAATTATGCTCGAGTATTGTTAAGATCTTAAATCGGTGCCACTGACACACAGTGTAACTAATCTTTTTTTATAGGATTCGGCAACATATCCGAACTTATCATCGGATGTGATGTGGTGATTAGTCCCAAGTCTCAGATTGTTGAGGTCAAATCGCATATTTTAGGATGTTTTCGTGTCGATCACATTCTAACTGCTCGTGAATTTAGCACGAAAACTTTCTAGTTTTCCGCCATGTAACCTCAGGGAGTATGATTCAGTTTTAACTATACTAAAAAGATTAAATTACACATTTCCGCGCTTCATTACATTGCTGAATATGCTTGTTTTTCCTGTCGACTTTGGCATTATCACGATATGAAACCACCTAGTACTGACCCCGTTCACTATTCCCGCAGTCTTCATGTTCCAGATACGATTATGTGGATGTGTCTAACCGCCTTTCCTTTTCACTCAAGGTCCACACAATGGAAGAAAAGCGTCGTGTTCCTCGTCCGCGTGACTTGAAGTCGTTGATCCGCGAGGCTCGCCAACAACAACAGCATTTGTTGAGGTGAGAACCTCGTTATTTTTGAAAAAAATAATTTAAACCCTGTTCAGGCTGCACTTTGTATACGTGAAAACACATGGATTCCATGTCTACAGAAATGGGTTATCACGGTGGTAGGGGAACAACGCCTGGCAATACTGCCTTGCAAATAACTTTGCCGGTATCGCTGTAGGCTTATACTACTAATCATAATTGGTTACGCCCCTCTTGAGTATCTATTTTTGGTCGAGTCAGAATTCTCGGCGCCACCTTTGGTGTAAGATTTTATGCCTACTGGTATTGCCGTACTCGCATTCGTCTTATGTGAAATTAATGTTTTGTAACTCACCACTCCAATGTTTGAGTGTCGGAGGTCATCTATTTTTAGACATAGCTTGAATGATTTCTCGAATCTAGTTTACGAATGAAATGCCTTTTAAGTGTTGTTCTGGACGGCTAGAATAGTCATCTCAGTATGTGCCTTTTTTCTCTGGAGCTGTGTGTGAGTAGAAACCTATCTTGTACCTTCAAAGAAACGGTCGGCTCAACTAATAAAAACCACGGCTCAACATTCCAGTCGCCCACCTGATTAGCTCTTGGTACAGCACTCGTGCATCTTGTTTTGGAGGTAACCTCCATGACTATAGTAAATCCTATTTAGACGTTCGAGTGAAGCACAATCATGCTCCACTGTTCTTTCCTATCTGATTTACAGACCCATTGAACAAGTTCTTTTTTTGGGTTTCGCAATGTGTCAGCCACTTCTTTGTGTTCATATCTTATTTGCCATTTGTTTATAACAGTAAGGCGAAATTGTTGTATCGTTAGAGTGGGTCCCGTGGAAGCCATTGGCGATTTCATTCTGAAATTAATGCTATCGAAACTGCCAACAGAGCTAAACTGATGTCTTAAATGCAGCCATAAATTTCAATTGTTCTGCGATTTTCTCACCATCCGTTTTCACAGAAATTCAGCACGAACACGTCGAAATTAGCTGTTAGGTTGCAATGTTCGCGGGGCACTAAACGTGATTTTATGGGTAGCTTTCAGCTCGTTTGGTCTAGTCATCGCAAACCTTAATGTGTCTTTTTTGTAGCAAAGGAGCGTGATGATTGTCGCAGACTTCGTACCAAATTATTTGTTTATTAAACGTTTGTTAAATAAACTGACAAGTCATCTGAATAAGGCTTAAATTCGAAGTATTAACTGATTCACCCTTCTTCAACCGTTGAAATCACGCTTAGTCGATGTTCAAACCCTTTTATGTCAATATTTTGCATCGTCCAGAACCCGACCAATGGCTTTGGCTTTTTTTGAAAGTCGAAATGCGATTATCAAAAGGTGGAGCATCAAGTCTTGTAATTGTGGTTGTGTTCAAAATCTATTATTCATGGTGATTTCAACTCGATATCAGATGGTTGGCTCATTTATTGTAAATTAGCACGACTGCCAATTTTTTTTAACATCAGGCTTCACGAAAGTCCTATACCCACAAAAGTGCGACGGATTTCATCTACAGCAGTTTCGTCAAAGAGCACTCCACCAGTTCCTCTGTTGACCTCATCCTCCGCCCCCCGCACTGCCACACCTCCAGTTGTAACCTCTGCGCATCGGTTGGCAGCCTTTCCCGCCTCGACTACTGCGCGTCGTATCTCCGTCAACGGTGTTATAACCACTGTTGACGGCCAGCCCTCAGCAACAATTCAGCAGCCGACAATTCTCCATCGGCGTGTGCATCACCCCTCGAGTTTACTGAGGCGGAACCAGCAGATGTGGGTAGGTGGCGTCGGCCAGGAAAAGACATCTACCAGTTTCATCTCAACGACCGCAGCCTCCCCTGGATACTACGCTTCTCCTTCTCCCACAGCGCTATCGAAGTTAGCTCAGGAGCCTGCGAAACTCTCCGATAGCAGAGAGGTCCAGGTGTGTTTTAGCTAATACTTGTCGCCGGTATTATTGTGGTCTTGTTAATGGGCTCGATCTGACTGACTGTACAATTGGTCACTTTCTGCGGGAATTTGAAACTCCTTAACCTGAGCAGCTGTAATAATCATTGTTGTTGCAATCCGTACACTCGGTCATTCATAGTTCCTTTTGATGACATTTCTGCTCAAAATGAGTACACCTTTTTTAGCCTTGTCGCTACGTTCACAGCCACTTTGCTTGTATGTGGTAGGAAAGGTGCCTTCTCTGTGCAAACTGGTCGTCTAATTAAAACTGATGCGCGAAGCCAAACCCGTCTGTATAGCAGCTTCTAGCCTAAGCTTGGTCCGTGTGAAAATGGTTTTCGATGAGGGTACAGTCTCTGCACCAATTTGAGCCTTCCGCCGGGACATGGAAATAGCACATTTCTATTCCATAAAAAATTTTTCAAATTGAAGCCTACGAAGTGCTTCTGTCCCTTACATTGAGAAGAAAACTTCCGCAGTAATCAACATATGTAAGATTTACCCCCTTAGGTCTGTAGCGAAATTATGTTGACGCTAACCAGATATCTACGCAAATTTTCTAATCCTATTATTTCAACAATGACCGGTGATGTGTCGATGGATACTTGTCTCAACCACTTTCTATATCCCTGTGCGTTGGTTATGTATCGGTGATATCAAGCGTTGCGCCTCATTATACCCAAAAGTTATATAATGACTGAGTTTTGACTGTTTCCTCGGCTACTCTTGCCTGTTTTGGTTCATGGCATTCGCTGAGTGGATTTTTTTTGTTTTAATGTGTAAATCCAAGAAACACTTACCCTAGCTTTTAACTCAGTGTTGGTATGCCGTGAACCTACTTTTCTGGTGCTGCGGAAACGTGCTGGGTTCGTGGTTTAGTTGGCTGAAAGTCGTGGATCGAGTGACCTTTGCACCCACGCCACCGCGACAAGGCGTGGTTTCGGTATCGTGACCCCCCTCTGGAGAGCCTCGTAAACACATTTTGTCCACTCCGTGTCGAGTGATGACTCATTCCACTGAGATTTCCGACGGACTTTGTTTAGTCATCATGTGCATCTATTTTTGGGCAGGGCGCTGACTGCCACCGTCCGCCTCGCCACACTTCTCCCATTGCCTGAGGACCGGAAGGACCGAGGAAGGCCGCTTTGTTATGGGCGTTTTTCGATTCGATTGCTTAACCTTATTACAACGTCTCGATCTCAACTAGCCCTAGATCACGCTCATTCGTTTATCGGTTGAATGCTTTAACAACAAGAAACGTGATTGAGAAGTGTGAAAACAAAGTGCACGTTAAATTCGATTAGAAAACTTCTATATGACGTCAAGTGTTTGTTATCAGGCGTCATCTTTTAGGAAGGAGAGAGAGAGGTCCGTAGGCTGCTCGAGGATCAACGGTTTGTTGTAGTAATAAGAGAGGTGTCCTTTGGGCTCGATTCGCTGGGCACACGTCACTACTTGAGTTGTTGACCATGTTGGATGAGAACATTTCCGAAATATCTTGAGCACATCCCATGTAGACGCACTGGTCTCCAACGCATATTGATTGGTGTCTTGTGCCCTTATTCCATGATTTGATGAAAATACACCATCCAATGTCGCTCATCTATCAACTCCTGATTTTTTTTATTTTCACTGTCACTTGTCTTCATCCCACGTTTGTGCTTCTGATCTGCCTCAAATGTGTTCCCTCTTTTTCCCATTTCAACCAAACTATGTCCTCACTTTCCAAGCCGTAAAATTTGCTTGGTGGAATAGGCAGATTCGAAAACAGCACTGGCATGCCACGCGTAAGGCAGGATTGTCGAAAATCAACCTGCTTTAAATTAGGTTAATCTACTGAGCCGCTGAACTTCACTTACCACATGCTTACACTTAATTAAGCCCAATTACTGACACCGTGGTTATTCATCATGTCATAATCTACCTATATCTCGCTTTTTTGCGTAGAACGTAGTTAGGAAAACTTGAGCCTAACAACCATCATTGGCACGCCAAATGATTTTGCTTCGGCGGTGGTTGCTGCTTTACCCCTCAACAGCATTGCTTTATGCATTAACACTCTAATTCACAATGTGTTTGGTATTTTAAATGACTTTATTTTATTGATTTTCTGTCACATAAGGAGTTGGTACCCTCGCCTACCATTATTTAACAAACAAGGTTCCTTTCCGCCTTGTTTCGTGTTTCCTATTTCCAAAAAAATAATCATGAAACCGAGCAAACGCACGAACAAAGACCCTTGTTGTTGTTGCTGCCCCCCATGCGAACGCCAAGGCTATTAAGCCCGACACTTTACATTTGCCAGCGCGAATCGCAAGTTGTGAGGGGGGGGGATTCACTTGCGCTGATTAAGTGAATTGTTGTCAGACCCTCAATCAGATATTGTGGTAGTTAATGCCACTGCCTTTGCACTCTGTTGGACAAATCTCTACGTCTTTCGGCTTCGGTTGAAAGTGTGCGCGAAGATTCAAAGTCCCCCTTCTTTCTATGACGACAAAGGCCACCTTTTTCTTGGACCAATTGTTTTGTAGATTTTATTTATGGCACATTTATTAGCCGGTTTCTTCTATTGTGATTGGTCACTTCGTTTATTCATTTGACTGTCAGTCCTATGACACAAAACAACAAGCCATTTCGGTTAAGAATTAACGACGAGCCTACCGACTCTGGCTTCTTCTCTTCTTTGTGGGTATTTCGTGCTGAGTCATGCCACTAAACCTTGTTTTAAGTTTAAATGATTGCCAAGCTCTCATTCGCCTTCATTTGCTCCCTTCAAAACCTTCGCGGCCGTACCGCGTGCATCAGCGCTTCCAAATGCCCATGGGCGTCTTTGCAAATGGCACCATCTTAGCCCTTAATTTCAATGAGGTCGGACCACTTATCTTCATAAAAACACGCGCGCCTACTAATCTTCTGGCCCTTCATTCATAGGCTGCCTCCTCAGAACACGTCGATCCCCACACAAACCCTTCGTTGGAATTTGAAGTAGAAGCGCTTTAAAATACTATTTGATGTTATTCTTTAGTAACGGTGCCGAATCAGGCTTAGTGGGACCTTGTATTCACTTTCAAATGTGTCCGCAACAATGTCGACGCAAGATTTAAGGCTGAACCAGGCGGGCTTTCGCGGGACCTATGTTTCTTTTGCGAAGGCAGCGCCACTAAGAGTTGGCTTACTTGAGTCATTTTCGCGTTAACTGTTCATGTCCCTTCTTTGTTTAAGTAAACACTAAGGCGTTATGAACGACGTGTGTAACACCAAAACACGGGTAATTGCGCTCATTATGCCCTAGAATTACCATTATCACTGAACGTTTGTTCAAACCAAAATATCTAACTGTTTAACTAGAAGTTACCGTTTGTGAGTTCGATCTGGTCTAGAATTACTCTATGGAACATGACTCCATCCGCGATGCTATCTGGTCTAGCAAGATGGTTGTCTTGCAATATTATGTACATTTATCAAAACCAGAAATGATTAAATCAAGTATTTTATTCGTTTAGGAGTTCTCAAATAACTACTGGCTCAGTTATCAGGCATTTTTGTCATTTGGATGTACTTGGAAAGGTTTGGATTGAAAAAGATAAGTTCACAGAGCAGTAATAAGGAACGACACGCAGGCCTCGTATATTATAACCTTTAGAGTCATTGTGGTGAACCCATCAAGATAAACACAAACACGGGTAACCAAACGACGGCACACCAAATAAAAATGTGTACTTTAATTTCAAGCACTCTAAAGTGCGCGGTTGATAGCGCTAAACATGTGTGGCGCTGGATTTAATCGCGAACCTTCAAACTGTTCTTTTTTTTCAGAGCCGTGTCGTGGTTAACGATGACAGAGAAAAGTCCATTACGGGTAGATCGCGAAAGTCCTCCCGTAGTGGCTTGCGGCAACCCCCATCCTCGTTACACAGTGAGTTGCTGGATTCGTTATGTTTAAATTAATTCCATGCTTATAATCGACAGCTTCTTTGCCCTGACGGGCAGGATCTTGGTGGCACTAAGTGTTCAAGCACTACTTTTATCGATTTCATTCATGTCTGACCTATGACTACTAAAAGGTATTGCACATTACAACTCAACTGACACTGAGAAGAACATGTGTCTTAAGTTTTTAGGGGCAGTCAAGAAGTTACGATTTTTGCTTAACCTGGTTCGTCAACCCAATCCATGAAATGAAAGTTGGTATTGCATTTTTTTCCTGTTTATTCACGTTTCCTTTAAGACGCGTACATTCAGCATATTACTCCTTCACCAACCCACACCAATTCCACTGCCCTTCTCCTACGGGCATCCGCAGCCAATCAGATCGCTGCCAAATTGCGAGGTGCCGCTGCAAGAGACTCTGCCACCACTGCTGCATCCTGGATCGGTTACGGTCGAGGGGGCACCTCAGACGTCCAACTTGCGGTTTCCGCATCCTCCTCCACCTCCTCGACAGCTTCAAGACATTCCAATCCTTCTGCCACTGCTATCGCAGCCAAGGCAGCCAATACGCATGCTTTCGGTTCCAATCGATACATCCTTATCGGAACCAAGCCCCTAAGAAAGGTCAGCTCAATCAAATGGTGGTTGTTCAATGTGGGTTAGCTGAAACACGTATTAAATGGGTGTGTTAACCCTTGGGAATTCAGCCTACCTGGTTAACGTACTTTCTGTGGAAGTGAATTATTCTGGTCGTACCAAAGGCGAATGTCCATGCACGAGTTCTTTATGATGGTGATAACTCGTGACTGGTTATGTGCATGCTCGAAAACTCAAGTTCACATCCGAATTCACACCTAAATTCATCGAAATTTGCTCAGGCTGACACTTCCTTTATTTGGTCTTGTTCTCTCCGTTGAAATGAAAGAGTACATCACAGATGAATCGCATCACATGTCAAATTAACCGATAAGTTTATTGATAGGGTCATATGATAGTTGTTACAGGATGAGGTCACACGCTGGTATCTTGTTTTTGGTCAGAATCAGTTGGATTGCTCGCAGTCGCGAGCAAAAAGCCATAGTAATTACTAGATTTTACAATATTTGTAGAACATTAGTACTGAAACAGAGGATACGCACGAAACAAGTTTTCAAGGGAGTTTGCTAGGTTTAAACCCTGAAGCATCCCACTCGTGAATGACCCAAATGAAAACTTGGTGCCCATTCGGTTGCCCCATTACAACTTGAGGTTATATCTGTGTCTCCATAAAATGCGAAAGTGGACAAGGCAAATAGCCCAAGGGCCGTCTGGAAACAGATCAATCTCAGTGCCCCTAACTACGCTGGCCTGAAAATGTGATAAACTGCTTGCACGTAGACAATACCCCGACTTTTCGGTGTCTTCTTACCTCGCTCTAATTTTTTTTTAACCAGCGTGGGCCCTACAATCAGCCGTGTAACCTAACCGCAATATTACCTTTCTCAAAGTCGTGGTGTTCATTTCTCTCTTTTGCTGAGCAGTCAATCGCCACCCAATGAGATGCACAAACACTCTAAGCATGGCACACTACAAGAGTCCGATTAATGAAGCATCATCGTTGTTATTGCCGGCTTAAAATGAAGTTATTTTTTTTATTTGTCTTTTTGCCAACTAATGTTCGCCGTTTTAACGTCTAGTTTGTGTTTTTTTTTTGGTATAAAATAAGAATAGTGGGCAAAAAATGGTGAAATCTCTCAAATGGAAATGGGTAGATTCGTGTAGAGAATGTTAATGTCTCCTATTCCCACATCTTGAATGCCACACATGTTCAATTTTGACGTCCAAAATACCCGTCTAGGACCCCTGGGGTCAACTAGATCGACCGCCATGTCAGCCAACACTCACCCCCTCGGGAAATTCGCCAGCGTCGTCTACAAAGCAGGCACTACCTCACTTTATGCTCTGCAACGTGTTCTCAAACACGAACGATCTAGCAAAACGGCGAGGCAGCAGTTACGTTGTCATGGCCACTCGGGCCTAAGGGCTTTGCCTTGTCACGCGTCCGTTCTACTGTTGATGCCGCATTTTCTTGAATATTAAGTTGAAAGATTGATAGAACTGATACCATCAACTCGACTCTTTTTTGCAAAATATTTTTATGGCGGCTACATTGAGCATGCAATACCACTGATATTTGAAATAATGAGCGCGTAAAATGTTAATCAAAAACTTTTACGTCCGACATGGATCTCTTAAGTTCCACGCAAGATAATAAAAACGCTTGTCATCATTATTGCCTTAGACATTGATAGCAAAGAGTTGCTAGATTTCGCTCTCGAGATTTCATCAGAATTTGTGTCATCTGCTGGCAGTGCGTTTTCATTAGACTTAAGACAAAAAAAGTTTTCGCAGTGAAGTACATTTTGATGCTTATCAGTAAATAAATCTTCCGGTTGATTGGGTGTGTTGGCAATTTACCTGCGTGTTATGGCCTTAACAGTCACGTAAAACGCACACTGCGATCAGGTACAAATCTTGCATTAGTTGAGGCGGTTTACGCCGGTGAGTTCTTTGAGGATCGTTTAGTCATTTCAAAGTATTTAGTGAATACATTTACCAACCATCTTTTAAGGAATTGCCTTGGTTCTCATCATAAATGTGATCGCACCAAAAGTACAGCAAAACCTTGTCAGTTAAGTAATAGCGTTTCGTTCGGGATCTGATTTTTTTACCTGTTATGCTGCGAAGCTTTTGTCTTCAGTCTAATAGGTTTTTGCTTTTAGTGCAAAATAAGTGAATGTGAGTGCATTATTATAAATTTCGGGCGTGTTAACATTGAATAATCCCTTAGGCTTTTGCGAATTCTCAACGCAGTAGACCGGACGATGGGTGGCGATCCTAACGGAACTCTGTGTCCAGCTCTTTTGGGGGGCTCATGCACGCCATCTAATTGCCATTCCTCCTCTTCCGCATGATCCGCGTGGGTGTGGCGGGGGTTAGTTGCTCTCCAGCATTGATTACTTCGCCCGTTTCATGTTCGAGTTAATACATTAACAACTGTCATGATCGCATATACCGGTAAAGCTATTTCTTAGTTGAATGCCAAACTTTTATTAATCCTGGTTCTCTTCAAAAACCCAGAAAAGTCTATTTTAGGTAGAATGTTCACTTTTTAACCCCAAGTGTAGAAAGTCCTTAAGCCAATGAATTAATGGTGTGAAAATTAATCGGGCTTCAAAGCTGTATGCGAAAAAGTGAAAAGATAAAAGAGGCACCTTGTAAGAACATGAATTTATCTAGTCTTTCTGTTTTTTTTTATTATTAATGCCGAAGTACTTTTTGAAATGCAACTTAGAAGAAAAAGCGAAGCCGTCTCGTAGCCAGTTTCGTTAGGTGTATTTCTAAGTGGTTTGAAAATCATCTCAGGGTATTTGAGATTATATCACATAACATTGTCTATTGCGTGGTCAGGATGCCAATAAATTACAGCCTCATTATTAACTGCTTCATGCTTTGACATGGCCTCTAATTTTGGAACCGTTTGATAAGGCGACTTGTTATTGTCGTACGTGACATCATAATGGGCCGTGTTCCCGCTGGAATTGGATTGTAATCCTCGGAATATTGCGAATGACAAGGAAATTCAGCTACCTCTTGTGGCCACCTTTGTTTACCTGCCATGTTTTTCTCACGATTCAATGGCCAAGGTACTGTGACAGAGGAACAACCACGATTGGTTAATAGCATTAATTGTATCCAAACCCTGTTGGATTGCTCTTTTCTAGAACGAAGGTTAATTGCCTCTGTCTGATCCTTTGTAAAATCGCATTCCTTGCTTTCTTTGGCTTTGTTTACAACTTTGGACCTCCGCAATTTGTTGCAAATCTTCCGTTAACTGTGCTGTAACCTTCAACGTGGCCGTCGTCGTGCGATTTTTTCACACGATGGCCCCATCGTGCAACTCGTTTGCACTCTCGTTCCGACTGTACTCCGTAGCTTTGGTGTCCTAACGCACGCATTTTCTGAACTTGTAGTGATTAAAAAACGAGAACGCCAACTCCAGTGCGAAATCCCTAATCTAGGTTTGTACGGTGCAGTGTTTTGAGTCAGATGAAGTTTTCCAAATCCCAGTTAAATTATATCTAAGCAAGTCTGTACTTTCAAGTGTGTGAGAATAACATGTTTAGGCTTTCAGTGTCATAATTGGTTAATTTATCAACTGACATATCTGATCTCTTCATGCTAATTCCTCGTGCCAACTTCGCTCAGAAAGATTTTTTCTACGATAGTGCAACGCCCAAATGCGTTTTTCCATCTGCCGTTTTACGCCTTTCCACTCAGGTCCGTTGCCTGTCTCAACTTAAAAGTTTTGCAATAAATAAGGACACTCGATTGGTTTCGGGTAAAGTGACATTTAAGTAAGCGTAGTATTTTAAGTAGCAGGCTTCGATGTACTGTGTCCGGCTGATATGTCGTTACTTCTGCCAGTGGAAATACAAGTCTAAGCGCCCCCAAGATACCCGCACTTTTTTGCATTTTATTTTTGGCATAACTTCAGTTACTAACCCCGCCTATCTGCATCAAAATGATGTTATTGCTACGATGATGTTTTTGTTTTCCCACATTGCACGTACCAAATCATGCTGGGCGGTGTACAAGAAGTAATTTGAGTTGTTGACGAACTAGCAAGCCTCGGCTTGTTATTCGCGCATGCTTCATCATTGGGATGCTTGGCGTTCGAATTTCTATGGTGATCAGCTGTATGGTATCACTGTCCCATTGGTGGTGGGAATTTCGCTGGCATTCAGGTCAGGCATGGGGTTAGGATAACGTCTCCCCCGAGCGAAGCTACTTACTCGTGCCTTTTTGCATTTGATTTCAGTCGGTTTCGTCGAGTCGTCTGACGGTGGTTCCGGGCATCAATATTCTTCAGACCCACCACCACCCCCACCAGACTCCTTCCACTGCCTCAGCCTCTTCGTCCTCCTCAAATCTTGCAACCAAGCAGTTGGTGGAGTCGATCCCCGAGGCAACATCAACGGCGACTGTAGACCTCACCGACCCTGATGCCGAGGCTGCGGCTGCCGCATCGGTGATTGCTGGTGCTGCTTCCTCAAACGACGAAGATGTTAACTGTGTCGGCATTCAGCTCGATTTCCAACAGCACCAACAGTTTGGGCGCAGCGTTGCCGCAACCAGCGGCACCACCTCCACTGCCGCTGCCGGCGTTCCGGCGAATTTGCGACAATCGCCTTGCAGCGTGCCTGCTGGGGTAGGTCTTTACTTAACGTCTGCGTCTCCGCGACTTTGAAGAAACGCACTAGTCCTTTAAGACCTCATTTCCTCTGTCCTTATGCCACTCCCGACGCCCTCCCTTTTCGTTTTTGTTGCAAGGAATGTGTAACTTTTGGCGCGTTATTTCCTTATAACCATTTGTTTTACTATACTGGCTTTGTTGGAACACTACTCAAACTCCCCAGTAGACAGATGGTTTTTGCTGTTATTCGATTCCAGCGCGTATATCCACTATTGCCTATGCTGGTGTCATTTACAGTGGGAACAAATTGTCTACTTGACTTTTAAGTATTTTGCTAGCTTCATCGCGAGTGACTAAATTGCTTTCAGTAGTAGACATTACTGAAAGTGAACAAATTCCTAGGCAAGTTGTCACATAGGATAACCAT